AGATTATTCCCAAGTCAACTCCTCCATGGGGAGATTATCTGCTATGAAACATTCCTAGCGCCTTTTCCATAACAAAAAATCAAACTTAAATAGATCATTGTTTCTGTCACCTAGAAGGAGATAGCACATATCTGTCAAGTCCTTAACATTCATGTTAGTTTCACCAAACTAATTGCTGTTTGCTTTCTTTCTCTTTAATAATATATAACAATGAAATTTGCTCTGTTTCAAACAAGTAAAATGTTAAATACAGAATCTCTTAGATTTATTAGCAAGACCATTTTTTTCTGTTTTGAAAAATTAATAGAATTTGGGGCCTCCCCGGTGGCCTAGAGGTTAAATCTCAGAGCTATCACGCTATCACCGCTTCTGTCTGAGTTTGATCCCTGGCCAGGGAGCTAAACCATTCGGCACAGCACAGCAGACCTCTCCTGTCTTGCCTGCTGCTCCCCTTAGCAGTGTATCTCATAGAGCTGCCTGTTCTGCTCCCCACTGTGTTGCTAATGAATCCTCTCACCTCCCTCACCACTGACCTTCACCACAGTTCTATGCAAAAATAAATAAAATCTTTTTTTTAAAGATTATTTATACAAGAACCGAGGTACAGGTCAGATGCTCAGGAGGGTGAGAGGATTCACCAGAGACAGAATGGGGAACAGAACAGGTAGACTGACAAAATACACTGCTGAGGGGAGCAGCGGGCGCAACAGGAGAGGTCTGCAGCGCCATGTGGGACCCTCCCCGGCCAGCCAGGATTGAACCTGTGCTGCAGAGGCTGCGGACAGCTTTACAGCATGGCGCTCAACCTCCTGTGCCACCAGGGGAGGCCCAAAAAAATCTTAAAAAAATAGAATTTTTAAATCACAAATTTTACTTTTACAGTGATTACAGTAACCCTTACCATCTTCCAACAGTAGGACAGTCTTCCTCACAAAACATCACATTCTACTATAAAACAGAATTTTATGTTTAAAAAATTACTCCTAATTTTTTTTTATTTTTTTTTTAAATAATAAATTTTATTTTTATATTCCCCCATACAATTGCAAACGCCCCATTCTGACCCCAATCCTTCCCCTCCCGCCCCCCACCCCCCAAAAAGTGTCTCTGGTTCATAGTTTTTTGTTGATTTTGATTTTCACTTTCTTATATTCATTTTCCTGGCCCCTTATTTAAGTTTTCTAGATTCCTGCTATGAGTGAGACCATCCGGTATTTTTCTTTTTCTTTTTGGCTTATTTCGCTGAGCATGATCCCTTCCAGCGCCATCCATGTTGCTGCAAATTGCATGTGTTTATCTTTTTTGAATGCTGAGTAATATTCCATGGTATATATGTACCACATCTTCTTGATCCAGTCATCTATTTTTGGGCATTTGGGTTGTTTCCAAAGCTTAGCTATTGTAAACAGTGCTGCTATAAACATAGGGGTGCAGGTGTTCTTTGGAATTGATGTTTCTGTGTCCTTTGGGTAAATATCTAGGAGTGGGATTGCTGAATCATATGGAAGCTCTATGTTTAGTAGGTCCAGAAATCTCCACACAGCTCTCCATAGTGGTTGGACCAGTTTGCACTCCCACCAACAGTGCAGAAGAGTTCCTTTTTCTCCACACCCTCGCCAACATTTGTTGTTGCTAGTTTTTTTAATATGTGCCATTCTCACTGGTGTGAGATGGTATCTCATGGTAGTTTTGATTTGCATTTCCCTGATTACAAGTGATGTTGAACATTTTTTCATATGTCTGTTGGCCATTTGCATTTCCTCTTCAGAGAAGTTTCTTTTTAGCTCTTCTGCCCATTTTTTGACTGGATTATTTTCTTTGTTGTTGCTGAGTCTCATCAGCTCTTTGCAGATTTTTGTGATCAGTCCTTTATCATTAGTGTTGGGTGCAAAAATGTTCTCCCAGTTGGTGGGGTTTCTCTTTGTTTTTGTTATTGTCTCTTTTGCTGTGCAGAAGCTCTTTAATTTGATGTAGTCCCAGCTGTTTATCTTTGCCTTCACTATCACTGCTTTGGGTGATGTGTCTGTAAAGATGTCTTTGATGTGCAAATCCCGTAGTGTTTCGCCTATATTTCCTTCTATGTATTTTATGGTTTCAGGTCTTATGTCTAGTTCTTTAATCCATTTTGAGTTGATTTTTGTGTATGTACTCCTAATTTTAAAAAAATCTGTCTCTGCTCTCTAGCTCTTCTTTCTTACCTGTGCTGTGAATCTCTAGAGTCCATAAAAATCTTAAGATCTTTAACATTGACTCCTACATGGGGCATCTGCCAAAATGGGGTAGGGTCTGGCCAGGGGCTATTTCTTAGTCTGAGTCTCCCAAAAACAGGTGTTTATAAATCATATTGTGATAGTACAAGAACATGTTAAGTCTAAATCATCACTATTGTGTAGCATATTTCCTCTTCTTTAGCTTTCTTTAAATTAAGTATAATTATATTTTAACTTTAAAAATAGTGGTGAATTGTATTAATTTGGGGAAGGGGAAGACGTTTGTATCTTTTACTGCTTACACAGATCCATGAAATATGCCTCATCTATGGAGAGACACCACTAGGAACAACTAGTGTACAGCCTTAAATTCATTGTTACTGCCACATATTTTTCAGTAGCTCCTTTATGTGACAGATTACTCTCAGGAGAAAATAATTTGATGCCTTTTTCACATTCTGTTAGTGTTCTTATTTTTAATAAAGTGCTGTGATAAATAGTCTAGTATAATGGTTGTTTCCCTGTTGAGTGTGCTTCATTTGAATGTCTTTAAGTAGAAAGAACAGTTGTTTTATTGGACTCTGTTTTTTCTGTTTCTCAAGGTTTTTTGATTGCTTTCTTTGAGCTTCTTACAGTGGGCGAGAAAGAACTTCTGTATGAGAATTGTGGAGTAGGACCCAGTGAACAAATTTTTTAAAAAAGATTTATTTGTTTGTTTGTTTGTTTGTTTATACAAGCACTGGGTACAGTCAGAAGCACGGGAAGGTGAGAGAATTCACCAGAGCCAGAGCAGGGAGCAGAACAGGCAGACTGACGAAGTACACTACTGAGGGGAGCAGCAGCAGGAGAGGTCTGCGCACCATGTGGGACCTTCGCCTGGTGGCCGGGGAATGAACCAGCGCTGCAAAGGCTGCGGGTAGCTTCGCAACCCAGCGCTCAACTGCTGCGCCACTGGGGAGGCCCCCAGTAGAGAAATTTTAAAGATGAATCCTGAAATATTAGAATATTCATACATTTATCTTATGGTAATTTGAGAATGGGATAAACACCTGTAGCAGTTTTGATTGACTTTTCGGTGGCAATTAGAATAGTAGCTTCTCTCTTTAGCCTGCTAGTTATTCAGATGACAGTCACATATAGATGCTATCTGAAATGCCAGTGTACTTTCACTACTTTTTTTTTTGGTGGGGGGTGGACGGTAAATCATACATAAAGTGTAAGTTAAGACTAAAAGTGGAGAAGAAAGAATATTGAGAAGTTGAGAATATTTGAACTGAGTTTTGCAAGAACAGCTGTTTGATGTTTTTCCATTAAAGTGGTGATAATGCTTCAGCCTGATCATTGCTACATCTACTTCTAGAAACCTGAGTGGGATTAGAAGTGTTTCCTGTATCCATGAGCAATTTTCCTTTATTAGGGAATCCAGAATTCAGGCTGGGCTTCATTTGCACCAGTCACTATACATCTTAGTGGTAACCTGGAGTGAACTAAGATTGTCATTAGTATAATGAAGTTGGAAATGTAGACCCTTATAGAAATTTAAAATTGTAATAAGAAAGTGTGAGGACTTATTTTGTGAAACAGAGTTGAATGCATATAGCTTACTTGAAAAAGCAAATATGTTGGGGTGAGACTTTTACAAATAAGAGAAAAATAATTTAAGATTTATTTGGAAGTTCAATAGTCTGTATTTACTTACATATACACAAATATCCTGGGATTTTTTGGCTAATAAAAATATTCCTTTCACTTTATCATAGTGTGTTAGGGCGGGCTGTCAAGTTTTATGTATTTAAAAGTCCTTATTTTCCTGAAAACTAAATGATTCCTCTTTAGAAAGCTTGAAAAGTTTCCTTACGATATTAATTCATATTTCAAAGTCCTTCCTATCCCCAGAATTACATATCTTAGTTCTTGAGTGTTTTCTTAGTTTTTATTTATTCAGTGATGGAGCAAACATTTACTGAAAGTGTAGATGTTCCTAAAAAGGAAGCAAGTGAATATAACAAAACTAAAATACATAAATATTTTTTATAGTGACCAGAGCTTTAGTTCACTGTTTTGTTTTTTATTAAAATGGTACTAAGACTGTGCTTTCAGGAATCATTTCTATACTTCATTATCCCAAAGTGAGTAGGAAGGTGATAGACTTCCATGGGTATTGCCTAATAGAGAGTGTAACATTAGGGTAAGGTTGAAGAAAACTGTGGCTTTTAGCTCTCCTGCAGTGCTGAAGACACACAAGCTCATCAGTGAGGTCACAGTGACCCTGGGGCCTGTTGAGTGTAACTCAGTTCGTACCACATACTTTTCATACATTGTTCTTACACCTTGATAAAGTAAGAGCAAATATTGAGGTCTTAACATACATGAGACTTAATTGTGCAGAGTTTGACAGATGTTGCATGCTTATTTCAGGGGCACTGCTGTGTCCTGTGAGATTTCTTTTCTCAGCTGTCACTCTCCCTGTCCCTTGCCCACACCCATTATAGTGGCCAAAAAGTCTGCTTGCTCTACAGTGGTGTGTCTTGAAGATGCCCATTAGTTTTCGGTAGTTACCCCTGGCCTGCATGTTAGCCTTCAGTTTAATGGCCTTTTTTATGTTCACTCATTTTATTTTATTTCCCATCGTGGTTTTGTTTATTTCTTTTTGTTTTGTTTTTTTCTGTTCTCTTTTTTAAAACCATCGTGGTTTGCCCTTCATATTCCCCAATGTTTGCACATGACAAGATGTTGCCATCCCAACATTACCTCCCACTTCACTGACCAGTGCCACTACTGACCATCTAGCACCAGCCACAACTGGACCACTGCCTTCAGCTCCTCGGGATGTCGTGGCCTCCCTGGTCTCTACCCGCTTCATCAAATTGACTTGGCGGACACCTGCATCAGATCCTCATGGGGACAACTTAACCTACTCTGTCTTCTACACCAAGGAGGGCGCTGCTAGGTAAGCACCTATCTGTGTGTAGCTTCTTGGCTAGCCCAACCTGGTCATGCTCACCCTGGCTCTTTGTTGTGTGGGATCTGTACCAATTTTTATTCTAGAAAATAGTGTTGAGATGCATCTCTTCTGTTTTTACATCTTTAAAAGTACATTCCAAGTAGACTGAAATTCAGATATTCCTTCTTTTTTACATGACTTGGGGAGATAGTAGATATAGCTATTTAGATGCAAGTGATAAAAGTTTTAATTATAAAAAGGGGTTGCCCTTTTTCTTTCCTAAGATTCACTCAACACATGCTGTAGCTTACTTAGAACGTTCAGATTCTAGAAATTAAGGTAGATTTAATTTATTAAAGTAATCTTAAATGAATTATTTGCCTGTATGTGAATGTGGGCTGCTGAACTCCAAGGTGTCTCCTTGATGACATGATTAATTAGCAACTATTTTTAGAACAGCATTTTCATTAAATTCCTCTTCCATATAGGGAACTCAAATGCCTCTTCACTGCTTCTAGGAAATTATCCAGGATATCCAACTGCTAGCTTTTTTTCTGTTCCACCTTATTTTTCTTTCCACTTCCCACTCCAATTTAACTCATTTTCACCCCCAGTCTATTCTCTTCATCCACTTCCCTTATTACCCTTTCTAAACTAAAACTAAATTCTGCTAATCCCACCCCCCATGAAATTTTCATCAAATTTTTCCCACCTTTTCAGCATGTGCAGCATTGCTCTTATATATGTGTTACTAGTTTGTGCCATTGACACTCAGTTGTAACACATAATCTTATACTACCATAAATTATTCTACTATGTGCATTTGTCTTGTTTCCCCAGTTTATAAACTCTTAGGGAGTAAGTGTGCTATATGCTGTGTATTATAAATATTGCTGTGTGGATTCCTTCAGTGTGCTGTTACTTCACACCAGAATAAGATGCTAACATACTTGTTTGGGTTCAGACCCAAACACATGAAATAAATCTTGTGTTTCTGTTAAGGTGCTTACATTTGGCATACATTGTATTTAATACCAGACCAGCAAACTCAACAAGTACAGAAAGTTTCCTCAAGATCCCTTGATTTAATACTCTTGAGAAGTATGAGGATTTGAGCCAGATAGATGGTAATGTTTATCTGAACTCTACTATACTGAATGTTCTGGATATTAGAAACATAAGGAAACAATTCCAGACACAAAACGGCAAGTCATCACTACCAAACAGCATTTATATTAAACTGTATCCAGTAGACTTTCAAGTCTCATAACATGTCTCATAGGCATTCACAGAGGTAAGAAAGCATTTAGTAATTCCTCAGAATAACATGCCTTTCTCCTATTCCTTCTGCCAGATAGGTGTTTGTTTTTTTTTTGTTTTTTTTTTTTCATAAACAATTTTGTCTGGCTTTTTGGCTGACATTCTTATATGCTGCTCCTTAGGCCTTCCATGAATGCCCACCCAATTTACCCTCCTTACACAGCTGAAACCAGCTGATCCCAAATCAGTTGTTAAACTTTCAGGAAAATTTTCCAACCTAATGACAAAATTCAGGAAGTTGTGGTAGCTTGAAATTGGTCCTGGTATAAGTGTTTACAATGGTAAGCACAGAGCCAGTTGCTAAATGCTTACCACTGAGTCACTGCTGTCACATCTCCCTGTTGGTTTGTTGTTTTTTTTTTCCAAAGCACTTACCACTGATATTTTCTCTCTTTGTTAATGTATTAATGGTATCAGTCTTGTTCAGTGAGTATTGTCTGGAGCAGAACCTGGCATATAAGTAGCATGAAATAAAGTCTGTTAAGTATCTGTTAAATATCTGTTAATATCTGTTAAATATTATGTTGGTAATTACCATGGGGGGGGCAGTTCTATGTCTGACATATAACACCGAATTATATGTGGGTTGAGATACTTCTTAAAACTTGTATTAGAAAAGTAGAAATTACTTTCATCATTTGTGTGTGAAAGACCTTTTAAAGGAAATCAACAGGGATAATTAATAATGAAGTTGAAATTAAGAAAAATATAAAAGTTAAATTGGCAGGTAAGGAGGACTAGGCAGCTATATGTGGAGGAAGAGGATATGCAAGGTAAGAATCGAAGTTAATTTGTATCTCTGGTGTTTGAAGGATTGGAAAGTAAGAAAACTAGCCTAACTGGCCAAGTTTAGAGTAGCAGTTAGTAAGAAAGTATAATAAAGGGGAGCCAAATGTTGAATTTGGACATAATCGGTTCAGCAGAAGGCATTTGTAGATTCATGAGCAAGTGCGCACTGTGGTTTTATTAAACAGCTCTTCTTAGTAGTGCTTTGAGAGCACCGCACAAGATTAGAGACAGGAAGAAATGGAGTCAGGGAGACTTTCAGGTAGCAGTTTATGTTCCTCTAGGTGTGGATGGATATGAATAGAAATAAAAGCAGTGACCTCAGTGGACAGAGAAATCCTGCAGACTAATATTTTTTGTTACTTCATTGAGTTTGATTTCTGATATGAATGAATTAAAACAGTAAGTCAAAAGACTGTATCCTGCTTATTTGTTTTATAAACAATTTATTTAGACTTTATAAGCTTGAACTTTCCCGTCTGAAAAATGAGGGTAATAACTTTTCTTCACAGGCGAATAATAAAAATTCATTGTGAAAATGTGTGCCAGCACTTGCATTTACAAATTCCCCTTCCTGCATTTGAAAATTCAACCACCAGGTGGCACTGTTTGCCTTGATCGCACGCCTCTATTCTGCTGGGTACCTCAGTTTCCAAACAGTATAAAAGGTCCTTTTTATCTGCCTTTTCAGATCTGAAATTTTCACCCTTTTAGAAAATGCATGTAATGTAGACAGTATCACTCTCCTAATATTAATAAGTGGATAATAGTGAATAAGTTATTCCAGAAATTAATACCATTATAGAGATTGGCTAAGCCCAGAGGTAATTATTAGGTGGGGATTTGGCAAACTATGGATGCTGGTCCAGATAATGCTTTTATTTTTATGGACCAGGAGCAAAAGATAGTTTTTATGGTTTTAAATGGTTCCACTTTAATAGGATTTATAAGTAACTGCATAGTATTTTCCATTTGCCACTTATCCCATAAATATTTACTATTAGGGCTTGTTTTTTTTGTTTTTTTTGGTGTTTTAAGAACAAGTTGACGACTCTGGTCTCATTCTTCCAGTTAATACATGAAGAAACTGAGACCCAGAATTAGTGACTTGATACTTACCCCAGCTGTTGTGCTGTCAGAATGGAACTGTACTATAAAGTGTACCTTTCTTTTTCTCTTGACTCTTCGTTGACACATTCTGACCTAAGGCCCATTGTAATCCTACATATTTCTGTGAACTGTCTTTTATAATTCTCCCTGAATCCTATTTTCAAGTTAAAAGTTTTTTTCTAAGAGAAACTTGTTTGGGCCCTCAGTTCAGTTCAGTGTTAGAAACCTTTTCAGGTGCTGTGTATTCTATCATGGCTAATCACACCTGCGACTGATTTTTTTTGGGAGGAAGGGGGTGGAATGCTGCCATAGAAATTTGTCTTAGGTTTTAATCCCTTCACTCATTTCACCTACTTTTTCCCCCTTTCATAGAAACAAACAAAAGGTATCCGTAATATCATTATTATACATGACATATATCAGAAGGCAGATTTATACTCATTTAACACACATGTGGTATGTTGTACTTAGTGGAATATTTGATCATTCTACTAAGTGTTTCTGTATGTGAACATGAAGGAGATGACATTTCACTTCAAATTATAGTAAAATAGCCTTCCCACTCTCCTTGCCCATTATCTCTCTAGAGAAGACTCTGTTAACACCTTTATGTATACAGTAAGCAGGACAGACATAATCTATGTTCTCACATGGAATTTATAGTGCAGTAAAGCATAAAATACCATCTTTCCTTTTAAAGAGATTGTTTGTGATCATACCAAGTGTCAGAAATCTTGAAGTGTTAGAAATCAATTGATATCCTCCTAAATACATCTTGTGAGGTTTAGCTAACGGAAAATAATTTTATAAATATCTTAAGTATCTGTTAGCCATTAACCTTTATTACTGAAATACTCTTTCCAGTGGCCCTAAGACTAATAGTCTCTCTAAATAGAATACAGGTACTGGGTTTCTTTGTATTAAAATAAAGTCGTTTAAAGAACTACAGAAAAAGTATTGGAAAAACACAGCTTTTTGAAATTCAAATGTTGTTAACAGTCACACAGATTGGCTTATGGTCATGGAGACCTAAACTAATTTTAGTTAGTAATTTCAGTATTTTAAAATAAGAATTTTGATTTAACTCCTTAGATAGTTCCAAGTAATATCTTCTACAGAGTAGTTTTTCAACCTTTTATTACTTTTTCTAGGTAGATCAGATCTTCCCTCAAATTTGACCATTCTAACACAATTCCTTCACAATGCTTGTTGAAAACTCTTGGTTTTATTATAGTGAGCATAATTATGGGCCCAAGTGTGGACCTACAGACTCCCCAGAATAGAATCTAGGTAACTGCTTTTAATTTTTTTATCTCATGGCACTAGACTGTACAGTTTGTGGTACAATTTGTTAAACATTGCAAATCAGTTTTAAAATGCTTTGAAAAGAGTATTTAAGAAATAAATCATGAAAATCAGCATCATGTTGAACTTATTTTACAGATTAGATTAAGAACACATTTAAATTTTTGATGTTTTCAAAGTTATTACATCGAGTTTCTTTTTATCGAGGGTCTTACTATCCAAAATATACACAGTATTCTTATATTTGCTGTGAAAATTGGGTCATCCCTATCAGCTTCTTTTTGACTCCCTGAGAATCACCCCTTAAAACTCAGTTATTGCAGAAATTTGGAAAATTGATGACCAGGTGCCCCATTTAAAATGGCACTGAGAAGACCCTTTTCTGTGTCTTCTCTGAAAGAAAGTGGTGAATTTGACCAGAGATCAGTAATGGTCAAGCAAGAAGCTTGGTTGGTTGGCGCATTATCAAATACAGCTGGCATTGCTCTTTGCCAGTCTCTATATTATGCACTATTCCATCTCAGAAGTTTAATTTTTTGAGAGTTAATTTGACTTAAATTATTAAGATTCTGATGTGGTGTGGTGTCTATAGGCATTGCAATGAAAATGACACTGTACTTTCTAGAAATTTCCCTAATTGATGTTCTTTCTTTCCAAATCCCTCTTTGTCCAAAGGGAACGTGTTGAAAATACCAGTCGCCCAGGAGAAATGCAGGTAACCATTCAAAACCTAATGCCAGCAACTGTGTACATCTTCAGAGTTATGGCTCATAACAAGCATGGCTCAGGAGAGAGTTCAGCTCCACTTCGAGTTGAAACCCAGCCTGAGGGTAAGTCTTCCACCACCTGCAGCCCCACTTGTAGGTAGATCTTTATGAAGGTCTGCCCTGTGAATAGCCTTGTACATCATTGGGGTGCAAGAAAATAGTTCCTCATCCGTTAGGGGAGACAAAATTAATTCAGATCAAACAGTAGCAAATAGTGTAAGACAATATAATTCTGATGCATGTTTAAATTTTACCCATCCTGTAAGAACTAGCCCAGATAACCTTCTAGAATCTTTCCTCAGATCCTAATATTGTTTCTCAGTAGTCTTAAGATATAGTATCACTTTCTTTCCTTAAGTTCTCATATTAATGTACATTGTTTTATGGCAAAACAGTCTTCACAATCCTTTTATTTTCTTGAATTTCTGATACAGTGCTTTGCATGTGAAATAAGTGTTTCATAACTGTAATCAGAAAGTCAAACAGATTGCTCTGATGTTTACATTCACCACACACTTCAGAATCCCTTTAAAGATTTCATTTGGAGCCGTGGGTCTTTTGGCCTAAATAGTGTTACGTCTACTCATATTTCTTAAGGTGTTCTGCAACTGAGATGAGTATTGGATTGTTTTATATTATAAATATCTTGTATATCTTAAATTTTCACTGCAAACTATAGACCTGAGATTGGAAGAAGAAACAATTGAATAATAATTAATGCTTTTCCCACTGAGACTTTCATCTACACTTTTTCCTTCCTTTAACAAAGTCACTGTTTTCCTTAGAATCTTCTCCAGTTCTCTTTTACCATTAGCTGTATTGGTTTTTCTGTATTAAAAGTTTGTAATAAAGATTTTACTTCAGCTAGGGGGCATATGAGATATATTTTTAGAAGTTACTCACCAGAGAACTAAACAGACTAATGACTTTGCCCATGAAGCTATGGAAATATCTCAAGGACTTTATTTACCCTGATGGATGGAATAAGTAAAATCCAGAAGCTGTGGAACTTTACTCACTAATACTATAGCACGTTATTCATTTATCAAACACTGGTTGAGCATCTCCTACACCAGCTACTATCCAAAGGTATTGGAGATCCAGGAGATGAGCAAAATAGGATTCTACCCCTTAAGAGGGAGCAGTCAAGATAGGTGGCGTGGATCATTTCAGAGATAGAACTTGAAGATCAGAATTCAAACCCAGCCAAGAACAAGAGCACCATCAGAGAATCAGGGGGTTGAGTTAAGGATAGAATGTGCCCTCATTACAGGGAAAGGAGGTTGAATTTCACAGTTAGTACATTCAGATAGATGCAGGAACAAATTGTTAGTCAGTTTTCCTACATTAGCTTCAATGAACAAGTGTCATGTGAAAGATATTGGGATACAGAACAAGGGACAATTTCTGTGAAAGAAAAGTAAATTGAAGCAGGTTCCTAGGAAAAGATGAGATCTGAGGTCGACCTTGAAGCATCTGACTTAGACTAAGTATTCTTGGGGGAGGAAACTGCATGACCCAAATCCTAGAAATAGGATCAAACAGTATACATGCAAGGGAATCGTGATAAAAATGAACGCAATGACTGCTGAATTTGATATGGTCCCAGGATTCCATCTTACAACTGTGACCCATTTGAAAATACATGAAAATATTTGTGTGTTCATACTCATATTTTTCTTGGGAAAGAGTCTGTGGCTTTGATTACTTCAAAACTTGAGTCAAAACTCTTGAGAACCACTAGAAGGGTCATTGTCAAATTTAAAGATGAAAGAAAAGAGATGAAGAAGGCTATCATATGCTGATCACTGTGCTAGGCAGTCAGGGTGTAAAGATGAGTAAGAGTGGACTTCTGACCACAGGAACTTCCACTGTGGGACCACAGACAAGTAGATTGACAGTGTGGGCTGTCTCACAAAGAAAGCAGCCAGCATAGTCCTTTGTTCATGGAGTTTGTTTAAAAGTAACAAAAGAGGAATGTACAGGGAAGGGACATCAGTTTCTGGTGAGGGTATTTTAGGGATGGAGAGAGACTGTAACACATTTTCACACGAGAAGTTAGTGTAGAGAGATGTGAACTTCATCTGGAAGTATTCAGCTTGTGTGAGGAGGTGTAAGTGTTGGAATCAGCCCTTGGAAAATAGTTTATATATTTAGTTTCACAAACCACTTGACTTAAAATTTTTTCTATTATGCCACTATACTGCTGAAAGGAAAGAATTTATTAGCACCTTTTTTTAGGATCTTATTTACGTACATTTAGCCAACGAATATACTGAAAGTGATTTCAAGGGAATTTGGGAACTGTTTTGTTTTTCTTTCCCTTTAATAAGTTAGAAGGAAATTTTCCATAGCAGCAGAAGTGAGACAAATCCCACCTGTCAGGCTGCACAAAATATGCTGTTCACATTAAGTGAATAACATGATTCATGACTAAATAAAGCCCACAACTGTTTAAACAACCATATTCAGGCTTCTTTACTTTGGTAGCAAAACTAATCTTAAGCTATGTTGCTGTTATTTAAGAAAGCCAGTTTGTCATACATTTTGTTAGTTTTTCCCCCTTTCCTTCACTCTAATGGATGTCTGTTACTGAACCCTAGCACCAGAGAAATTGTTTTCAAATAGGGACTGTGTGCCAAGTGTAGGCATAGAATTTGTGTGTAGATTGGGATTGGAACCTGTCAGTCAGACTAAAAGAATATCATAAGGGGGCCTCCCCTGGTGGCTGGTGGCTGGTGGCGCAGCAGTTGAGCGCTGGGCTGCGAGGCTGCCCGCAGCCTCTACAGCCCCAGTTGGTTCCCCGGCCACCGGCGAGGGTCCCACAGAGAGAAAAAAAAAAAAAAGAATATCATAAGGTATGTGAGCCAATGTAAGAGTCAGAACCAGGCAGACAATTGATTCTCCATCATATACATCTTATAGGAGGAATTACAGCTGTCTGATTGGTCTTCCTGAGCCACATTTTAGATTTAGAGACTGCTTGATCTTTACTCCACCACTCACTAATATCCATTCACTTAGGAATGGTTCTTAGAGGTCTCTGAACCTCATCTGTAAAGAGTGTTGAGTGCAAAGGTAAATAAAATGTCACTTAAATACATGTAAAGCACTAACTGCTGTACTCGATTAAGCATTCAACAAATGATAGCTATTTTTTAAATAGACTATTATTCTCTCCCCTAGTCTTGTTCCCGTAGTGCTGTTCTTCCATGGTATGTTCACATGTCTTTCTGAACACAGATCTGATCACGTCATATATGTTCCTACTCATAGTTTTTCAGTAATTACCTGCACCTACTAGAAATAATCCAGACTCCCTAGTAAGGCACTACATGTTCTTCACTAACTGGTTCTTGTCATCCTGTCAATCATTATCTCTCCCACAGCTGCCATCTTTTAATCTGAGCCATGTAGCACGGTTTTCTCCTACATCCTCCTCCCTGACCTGTTTACTGGTATAATTTTTTCCTTGGTATCTGAGAAAAGTATTCATTTTCCTTAGCCCCCAGAAGTCTTCACACCAGCCTTCCCTTTTCTACCAAACCCTCCCAGAGCAAAGTTGTGTACTCTTCTCTCTCTCTTCATTGTGATCATTACCTAGCTACTAGCACTTTTGACATTATTTGTGTGTATTTATGTCTGACTTCCCTATTAGACTAAAAGTTCTTGGTGGGTTGGAACTCTGTTCATCACTCTACCTCACCACCTGACAAAAGAAGGCTCTTTCTGTGATGGTCGCTCTTATCTGCTATACAGTCCTTCCACAAAGCTGGTATTTTATAAACCACAAAAATTCTAAAGTTTTCATATTTTTCTTTGAATAAATTTGAGATACTTTATGGATACTTTACAGATAATTTTTGGTTTTAATTTGAATTATAAAGGGAAATGTGTTTAATTGTGTATTAATCCTAATACGTTAATCAAATCACTTCTTAGTTTTTAAAATAATCCAGTATGGCATTAATGCTGAGAATGGTTATTGAGGAATGCAGTTAATTTCATATATCTTGCTCTCTTGAAATTTTCTTTCCAGTTCAGCTTCCTGGCCCAGCACCTAACATCCGAGCATATGCAGTTTCACCTACTTCCATCACCATCACATGGGAAACACCACTGTCTGGCAATGGAGAAATTCAGAATTACAAATTATACTACATGGAAAAAGGGACTGATAAAGAACAGGTAAAAGATGAAGCCATTTTCCAATACATTGATTAGATTAGTAAATTTGAAATATATTTCCAAAAGTCAAAATCTGAAAGAAAAGTAATGTATAGGAAACACAAAGTCAGTAGAGTCATTTCTCTGTACCAAGATTTTTACTAGTAAAGGTCACTAAACATCAAGCGATACTTCTAAGTAAATTGCCAATGTTTATGATTAATCTGCTTTGACTGCATTCAGTATGGAATTTGCATAGTTAATTCTTCATAGTGCAGCACTTCTTTTGGCTTGAGTGGCATATATATAAATTGTTTTGTTTTATTTAAGGATGTTGATGTTTCAAGTCTCTCCCACACCATTAATGGGTTGAAAAAATATACAGAGTATAATTTTCGAGTGGTTGCCTACAATAAACATGGTCCTGGGGTCTCCACACAAGATGTGGCTGTTCGAACATTGTCAGATGGTAAGTCTTCCTTCCTTTGAAACACAGTGCCCCTGGTGGCAAAGAGGTGATCATGGGCTTTGATACAACAAGATTTAGTTCAGATCCCAGTTGATCCCTGGGAGTGAAACCTTTGTCAAGTCACTTGACCTAGCTGAGAATGTGTTTTTTACATCTAAAATGTAGTTAATACCAATTTAATTGGACTGCTGTAAACAGTCAGTCAGAGGATACAGCACATGCATTGCCTGGTACTGAGTTATGTTCTCAGTGCTTTTATTTTTACTTGGGGCTTTCATAAAGATTGTTGTTTGTTCATAGCACAGATCATTCTAGTGTTGTTGGAAGGCTAGCCTTGCTGTACTTAGCAATCATATTTGCATGCCAAATGGGTCTTTTGTAATGACATTTCATTTTTCACTTGTGATAGAATTTCTAAGCTAAGTTGTATGTATATACCCATGACGCAGAGTAGTATTTTCCAAAGTACAGGTTGTCAAAGAGATTGAGTAGGCATAACTAGCATTTTTTTAAAAAAAAAGTTTTTTAGAGTTGACAAAAAATAACATCATCCATTGTACTTGCTATGTGTACATATTATTTCCTGAAACTCAACTATAATCAGTGTGTTATAAAAATGTCTTATTTTTTTAATGTATATTTATATGTCCTTATATATAAACACACATGCTTTAGGAACTGTAGTTTGCTCCCCTTAAGCAAATGACCAAATGCAGCATCACCAAGGAGCAGACTGACATCATGTGCCTCCTGAGTGATGCATAAGAGGAACATAACTCTACCTCTCACCTGTGTTTAGTCCCCACCAAACATGTTTAACTTGAATCTGATCATGGTGAAGAAGCTAGACATACCCAAACGGGCAAATTCTACCCCTCCAAAAGAACTGGCCTGCATTCTTGAAACATATTAGTCTTAGAAATATAAAAAGTTGGGGAATATTCTAGAATCTAGATTAAAGAAGAGTGAAGACACGTAGAGAAGCATATGTGATCTTTAGATCCTCGATCTGGTGATTAAAATGCTACAAAGATACTGGTTGTATAATTACCTAGTGTTAGATAGGTATAATAGGAAGCAACAGTGAATATTAGATATCTTATTAAGTGTATTATTAATTGTGTGTTAGGATTAAATTTTCTGAATATGCTTGTTATCATTTTGTTGGAGAATGTCCTTGTTCTATGGCATTTAGGAGAGAAGTACCATGATGGCTGTGTCTCTACCTCAGATTCAGAAGCATCATAAAGACAAATAACCATGTGTATGCATGCACAGTGAGAGAAATAAGGCAAATTGGTGGGGTATTTACAGGAGGAAACTATATGGTGTTTATTGTATGATTCCTACCACTGTTTTCTTTGTGCTTGATATTTTTCAGGATGAAAAGTTGGGGGAAATAAATAAAAATTGTAATTTGATTAGCCAGCTACACAGTTGTTCAAGACACTTCAGAAAAGTTGAGGGGAGAAAGAGATTTAATGTGGGCTTTTAAATTTACATTATGAGCCATATTTTAACTGCACACAGGTGGGTTGGCATGCCCAATACAGTGCCTGTCATGTGCACTGAATGTGTCTTAGCTCAGTGATTAAGGGCATCACTTTGAAGTGAGACAAATCTTGGTTCTGTCGCCAGCTGAAACAAGGGTGGGTTAACTGCCCTAAACCTCACTTACAGTTTCCTTATCTCAAAAACAGAAATAATGACAAAAAAACTGTTCTGTGGAATTGTATGGATACTGAAGTATGGGCACATATAGCAAATTGTAGCAGTGATGGTCAAGATGGTGACAGTTGTGATGACAACAGCAATGACAGCACCACTGTTGAGTGCATATGCAGCCAATGCATAGGTTCTTAATAGGGAAATGAATGGAACAACTATAGATTTTTTTCCTCAAAAAAAAAACCAAAAATAGGTGCCCAAGACCTACTCCAGACCCTTTGCACCTGATTGTCAGGGTTGAGGCCTGATATACTTCGCTAGCATGATATACAACAACTTTACAACAACAAAGAACTAAAGCATGATATACAACAACAGAGAACTAAAGTCAGCATTTATGAATGGAGAGAGAACTAATCAGGTCTACTTAAATTTTCTTTGCTTACTATACTCACTACAAAGAGGAATGGTGTTGCATTTGTGGACTTTGAATACCCTATCTTATCCCTAATATGTGAGAAACTGAAGTTCAGCTGTTTCTTTAACCAATAGCTCCAAACTTCTCACTTCTAAATGAGTGTTCCCTGCTGTAATAGTTGCTTTGGGAAACCAGATGGTCACTTTCCTGAGGCTGCCATTGCTTAAATATCTCTTTGCTCTACTAAAAAAGAAATTCTTCCCATTGGATGGAACTGGAGGGGATAATGCTAAGTAAAATAAGTCAGAAGGAGAAAGACATATACCAGATTATATCACGTATATGTGGAATATAGAGAAACAAAGCAAGAAAGCAGATAAAATCTGACTATATAACTGGGTCTATCAGGAAGGAAGGGAGAAGAAGGAAGTGGGGAGGGGACCCAATAGATTATGGTGGAGCACTATGGGTGCCTTGGTGGTGAGTGTGGTGTAATACATCTACCTGAAGGGGGAGATCCTATACCTCTGAATCATACACAATGTTGTAAACCAATGTTACTTCAATAAAAGAAATTATTATAAAAAGACAGTTTAGGAACCGCATAAGAAAACAAAACTCACTGATTTATGCAATAACATTGTGAACCTATGATAATCTCTCACTTGCCATATTTTTGAGAATTGGTTCCAGAAAACTTATGATCCTTTCTCCAAGATAAATACATGCTATCATCAAGAATATTCAAAGAATATGTTGAAGGTTCAGAGGTCTGGAAAAATTCAGAACCTAGGAAAGTTTGAAGTCACTGTCACATCTCTAAATAAGTGTCTGACTTGCCAAGGCACAAACTGACATGGATATATAAATGAATGTGTCTTTTTTTAATTTTTTAAATTTTTTTTAATATTTAAATTTTTTATTTTTATATTCCCCATACAATTACAACCCCCTTATTTTGACCCCAATCCCTCCTTTCCCCGCCCCCTCACCCCCCGTAGAGTGTCTCTAGTTCATCGTTGTTTGTTGATTTTGATATTTTCTTTCTTATAGTTATTCTTTTTCCTGGTCCCTTATTTAAGTTTTCTAGATTCCTGCTATGAGTGAGACCATCCGGTATTTTTCTTTTCCATTCTGGCTTATTTCGCTGAGCATGATCCCTTCCAGTTCCATCCATGTTGCTGCAAATTGCATGTGTTTATCTTTTTTGAATGCTGAGTAATATTCCATGGTGTATATGCACCACATCTTCTTGACCCAGTCATCTATTTTGGGGCATTTGGGTTGTTTCCAAAGCTTAGCTATTGTAAACAGTGCTGCTATAAACATAGGGGTGCAGGTGCTCTTTGGAATTGATGTTTCTGTGTCCTTTGGGTAAATACCTAGGAGTGGAATTGCTGGATCATATAGAAGCTCTATGTTTAGTAGGTCAAGAAATCTCCACACAGCTCTCCATAGTGGTTGGACCAGTTTGCACTCCCACCAACAGTGCAGGAGAGTTCCTTTTTCTCCACATCCTCGTCAACATTTGTTGTTGCTAGTTTTTTTAATATGTGCCATTCTCACTGGTGTAAGATGGTATCTCATGGTAGTTTTGATTTGCATTTCCCTGGTTACAAGTGATGTTGAACATTTTTTCATATGCCTGGTGGCCATTTGCATTTCCTCTTCAGAGAAGTTTCTTTTTAGGTCTTCTGCCAAATTTTTGACTGGATTATTTTCTTCGTTTTTGTTGAGTCTCATCAGCTCTTTGTAGATTTTTGTGATCAGTCGTTTATCATTAGTGTTGTGCGCAAAAATGTTCTCCCAGTTGGTGGGGTTTCTCTTTGTTTTGGTTATTGTCTCTTTTGCTGTGCAGAAGCTCTTTAATTTGATGTAGTCCCAGCTGTTAATCTTTGCCTTCACTATCACTGTTTTGGGTGATGTGTCTGTAAAGATGTCTTTGATATGCATATCATGTAGAGTTTAGCCTATATTTCCTTCTATGTATTTTATGGTTTCAGGTCTTATGTCTAGTTCTTTAATCCATTTTTAGTTGGTTTTTGTGCATGGTGTTAGGTAGTAGTCAAGCTTCATTCTTTTGCATGTAGCGACCCAGTTTTCCCAGCACCATTTATTGAACAAACTTTAAATGAATATGTCTTACTTCTCTAATGAGTCAAACCTGGCCATCCCTTATCCACATAGTTCAATCAATATGAACTCTGAGGTGGGTTAGAATTTTGATACATAGGGCCTCCCTGGTGGCACAAGGGTAAGTTAAGATGCAGCCTATGGGGCTGTCCGCGGCCACTGCAGCACAAGTTTGATCCCCAGCCAGGGGGCTGATACATGGCACAGCGAACCTCTCCTGGCTCGCCCGCTGCTCCCCTCAGCAGTGTATTTTGGTCAATCTTCCTGTTCTGTCCCTACTCTGTCTCTGGTGGATCCTCTCACCCCACCCCACCCCCATCTCTGGCCTGTGCCGCGGTTCAGTTCTTGTATGCATAGATAAATAATTCTTCTAAAAAAAAGAATTTTGATGCATAATTAGTGTTGGAAATGTGCATTTGTGTAAAGTCTAGCCAAAAACAGTCACATGATGATATGTTGGGTGATTGAAAAAACTTTTCCTTTTTTTCAGTTCCCAGTGCTGCTCCTCAGAATCTGTCCTTAGAAGTAAGAAATTCAAAGGTAAAATTTTATGTTGCTGTTACTCATTTTCACTACTATACTGTCAAATCTCAGAAGGGTTTATAGCAGGGAAATTTTGTGGGAAACCATCAAAATATGTGAATGCTAACATTGCAATCATCTATTTGTTTTTTAAAATACTAAGCCTATAAATTACAGCTTAACTAAAAACAATCATAATCAGAGAAATAAGGTGACATAGATATGTTAGTAAGGCTGGACTTAGAAAACCAACTCCAGCTTATACTGTGTAACTTTGCTGCCTTTCTCTATTGCCAAAATTACTTTAGCTGTACATATACACTGCAATTGTTATATAAATCACAGCATTTGAGATCTTACCATTCCAGAACCTTGGTGATACACAGAAAGAAGATGTTTATGATAACATCCCCCATGTAAATTAAAGGCAGACAGCTGTCAGACTGGGTGCATATGCTCAAATCCTCCCTCCAAGTCAACTTCACTATACACTTAGGGTTATGGATGCCTCTCAGAGTCCAGAGCCTTTTCTGGGCTGCATAGACAACTGAGGGATTCAGTCCTTTTAAAAAGTCCAGTGGGACTCCATTTCTTCTTTTAGAAACAACAAACAACAGTTGTTAATTAATGATAACAGTTGTTAATTACCTTCTGAGGAATTTTAAATGGATATTATTTAATTTCAGCTATTGCATACTGCAGATGGGAAAGAATCTTTACACCTAACAATAATTTACTACCAAATTCATCTGCTTCTAATCTTGTATTTTCCTTTTGAAAACTCTTCTGAGACTTTTGCCCAGTGTTGTCATTCTGGAAAATATCCAGTAGGTCAAGTGCCCAGGGTATATTGCCCACAAATATAATATCCCTTTCTGATAATGGAAGATTTTAAAATTAAAAAGTGTTCTTGAGTGATTATTAAATAATTTAGTAAAACTCTGAGTACCCTGCTGCCTTTTATATACCTCCTTTACACAGAAAAATTAGGGTAGTAATATACAAAACCTTTGGGTCCAAACTTTTTATATAGTCAGTCTTTTCCCTATAATCTTATTTTTCCCAGAGTATTATGATTCACTGGCAGCCACCTTCTCCAGCCACACAAAATGGACAAATCACTGGCTACAAGGTTCGCTATCGGAAGGCCTCCCGAAAGAGTGACGTCACTGAGACTGTGGTAGCTGGAACCCAGCTGTCTCAGCTGGTGGAAGGTAGGCTGTACTGCACATGAGCAAACTTGAGAGAAGGTCTTTCTCAGATAGTGAAATGTGCTGGTCTCTCGTGTGGATACCATGTTGCATGAAAAATATACATCTTTAACACTAGCATCCCACTCACCACAGCATGGTGCTCCGTCATGAGTGCTCGTAGGAACTGAGAGTGCATGAGAGAAGGGCACCCCTCTCATCTTCTGCTCTCTCCTGGGACTATACTTTTTGAAGGCAATAGACAGAAGTTTACCTACATTACTGAAGTTGTTACTTTCTCTTCTCTTCCTTGGTTTTTGTTTCTTTTTCAGATGCATACATATATACATATTTATGCATACACATACATGTGTGAATATTTATGTATTTATCTTTTAAATTGGGCTCATAGATACATATATAGAGAGAGTACAAGGCACGGTACGTTGGTTCTATTTTTTTGTTTGTTTTATTTCAATAAACATTTAGCAGACCCCCACTGTATGCAAACAGTGAAGGGCAGTATTGCTCTGCCCCCCAAAGACTTTGAAATTGATTTAGAAATGAAAAGATAAAACTATAATACAAATTTTAAGAAAAAGGAATATTCTAATTACATGACTTCTTTGAACTTTTGGCTTAGACAAATAAAAATTCTTCAAAGAAAAGACACTTTTGGCTTGATAAAAATTATTGGAAAACTCTTTTACAGGTTCTGCCATCTCCAAGTGGTATAATTTAATTTTGGGGTTTTTTTTCTTATTTGTGTTTTTCTATTATCTTCATATTTTCTTTTTTTAATATATGTATTTCTTGTAATCTAAAAGAAAAGGTAAAACAAAACTATAAAAGCAAAATAAAAATTACTCAATCAAGGTAGTAGCAATTATCTACAAAATTATTTGTATAATACCAACTCCACTTGTATGTATGTGGCCTGAAATATTTGTGCATTGCCATATTAATGTGGTAATCATTCTTGCTACTATGGACATGATAAAGTCTTATAAATTGCTTCAGAGATAGCTCTTTTGGGTAGTTTTCCCTTCACATGAAACACAGCAAGTGGCATACTTATAAAAATGAACCCAAAAGCATCTCAAATTGGGGCCCCTTATAAGTGACAGAGATTCCCCCTCTTTCTTCCTTAAATAGAGTTGGCTTAGCAAAGGCAAGTTGGCTTTGCAGAAGGTTGGGGGAAAGATGAAGTGCTTTTTAATCTTTGGATATTGGCACCATGCTTACAGAAAATAGCAACAGATGGTTCTGAGAAACTCTTTTGGGATTTCCACTCTTATATAAAAGAGAACTGTAAGAATTGGAGGTATGTCATTAGTATCAAAACCCTGCGAATTAATTTCGTCATCCTTGGGGAACTCTTAACTTTCCTTATATTACATCCCTCCTGCATAGTAAGTGAAATGATTAAAGAAGCTTCACATCAGTCACTTGTGCCGTTGGGAGTATAATCTTGAGAGGACCAAGGTCTGGGGTTAAAAGATATGATGGCGCTTCCCTTCTTTATAGCTTCAAGTTTCTAAAACTTGAGAGAGCCATTGACAATGAAAACCTATACTCTGGTAACCCAGTAAGCTTTCTCCTTGCTCCTTACTTCACAGATGGGGTTGGCTTCCTTTGGTATAGGAGAAGGTAAATATATGACTCCAAGGATATTTTTCACCCTTCTAGTTTCCAGTATTTATATATGGGGAGCTAAGATATTTCATAAATCTTTTAAGACCTATCATAATATCTATTACCTACAAATGCTAAAAATTTATTAATGTTAACTATCTACACTTAAAAATGGTTAAGACAGCAAATTTTATGTTACGTATATTTTAACACAATAAAAAAAAGAAAAAAATGTAAGACTGACTATATTATTGGTTGTTGCCCTATATAAGGGTAGACTTTTACACGTAGGTCTTTGTTGACATCTATACATTGGTAAATTGTGTACTTTGTTAGCTGATACTAAATATGAAGAGTTCTATAGAGAAGAAATACTCTAGTCCTCTTTTTGGACAACTAGATTGTGAAAAAATTTTTAGGTGCTATTTGCTATTCAGAATTTTTCAACTGTGAATGTATTATAGATGTCTCACAGAACCTGGTAGACATTATATTTTTGCATTCTTTCCTGGATTTTGGTGTTTTCTGAGACCAACTGACTTTATTCCTTTGTTCTAACTCTTTCATTATCCTTGGCCTCTTTTGGGCCTTTCACTTCCTTAGTAACAAAATTTAAAGGATTTTATTAAATGATTTCTAAAATGCCTTCAAATGCAAAGAATCTGTAGTCTCCTTGGAGCTTTACTCATATCTGTTTTCTCTTAGGAGGGTTGGGTTTCAGCCTATAAAGGTGGGAGCTATTCTGCTCTACTTACATATTGCCTGTTCTGTATTATCAAGATTGTAGTTATCTACCAAGTTGGTAGATGAGATAATTGCTTTAATGAAGGACTGTTAATGTTTCATATTCCAGAGCTCTTGTTCAGCTTATCATTTTTTTGTCATTTGTGTCTCAGGTCTTGATCGGGGGACTGAATATAATTTCCGAGTGGCTGCTCTAACCATCAATGGTACAGGCCCAGCTACTGACTGGCTATCTGCTGAAACTTTTGAGAGTGACTTAGATGGTAAGAATAATTGGCAGGGGGCCTCCCTGGTGGCGCAAGGGGTTAAGCATCAGCACTATGAAACAATTCGGAGCTACAATCTCCAGCCAGGGAGGTGACCCACATGGCACTGCAGACCTCTCCTTTCTCACCTGCTGCTGCCCTCAGCAGTGTATATCAGTCAGTCCACCTATTCTGCTCCCCAGTCTGTCTCTGGTAAATCCTCTCACCAACACCCCCCACCTCTAGCATACACTCAGCTCTTGTATGCATAAACAAGTAAATCTTTAAAAAGCAAAAAAGAATAATGACAGGGTTGGCACAGGCTTAGTACTAACTATAGTTAAATGAATTAACTGGAAGGCCACAGATTTGGGGTGTGTATAACTTAAATTTGTGAACTTTTGTTTTACACTGCTCTCATTCCTGTAATATAGCAAATCTAGAATGTTGTGCTTTGTTTTTTGCAGTGGCTTTTAGAAAATTGTCCCTTTAAGCAGAACCAGAAAAATAAAAATGTACAGGTGCTTTAAGTCTAGCTTTGACCAAAGCGCTTAAGTAGATGGATGATCTAAAATTTAAGACTGAAATACATGAATCCTAAAGTTCCCCTTTTCCCTGAGTCCTGGACATTTTGCCCTTTTATTCACCTGTTTTTTTCAGTGAATAGTTTTGTAGTATTTATCCTTATCAGAGACAGATGCTGCAGTTGGGAGACAAAAAAAAAAAAAAAAAAAAACCAAAAAAACACAACTTGGTACTTATTGTAATTCTTGGTTTACTAATTTTTAATTAAGATGGCAATTTATGCTTTGAAATATGTATTTGAAACATAACTCTCAATTGCCACCTTTGTAAGCTTCTTGGGTCCACCACCATTTAAGCTAATTGGTAGTTCTAAAATTTTATATTTTCTGCCCTATTTCAGTATTTAGAGGATTATATAATTGACACCATTGCTGTAATGTAATCCTTGATCACCTATGATAGCAATTAGTTGGTACAATGCCTTTCCTTATTCTACCTAATAGAATTGTTGTATCAGATGTATGACCAAGAGGAATAGACAGCCATCAAAAGTCCATTGTGCAGAGGATCTTAGGTCTTCCTTTCCAAATGAGTAGCTTGTGTTCAAAGGTGTTTAGGTTTTGCTTTCATCTTAAAATGTAGTAACGTAGTAAAACCACGCATCATACTAAAAATTCCCTTTGAATTCTTGGGCAGAATGGAAAAACACTTAGTCGCAAATAATTTGGCAGGAGGCTGAACAGCATTCAGAAGGTGGATCTCATCTTGCTTTTCTACTTTTCCTTCCCAGAAACCCGTGTTCCTGAAGTGCCTAGTTCTCTTCACGTTCGCCCACTGGTTACTAGCATTGTAGTAAGCTGGACTCCTCCAGAGAATCAAAACATTGTGGTCAGAGGTTATGCCATTGGTTATGGCATTGGCAGCCCTCATGCCCAGACCATCAAAGTGGACTATAAACAGCGCTATTACACCATAGAAAATCTGGGTATGTATGCCAAGTAGAAGTAATTGTACTTACTGTTTCTTTTTAACTTTCTATCATGTAATAATTTTTATTTTTATAGAAAACTGAAAATTTCTACAAAGAATTCCTATGTGTTCTTCACCAGGTTCCTCAAAGGTTAACATGTTACCACATATACTTTATCACTCTTTATCTTCCTGTATGTACTTATTTTTCCTCTGAGTCATTTGAGAATAAGTTGCAGACATGGTGCCCATTAGTACTATAATGGTTTCCATAAAAAACAAGGATATTTTAAAACAACTAGTTTATCAAAATCATCAGATTAATACTTAGGCTGTATCTAAAGACTGTTCATATTTCACTAGTTGTCTCATTAATATCCTTTGTCACAAAAGAAGAACATTATCTTCTGGTCCATGATCACATACTGCATTTAATTACCAGGTCTCAGTGGTTTTCTTTGCTATGCAACAGTTCCTCCTAATTTTCATGATGATGACCTTTACATAAAGCATTGGCTACTAATGTCTTGTGGAATATCCTTCATTTCAGAACTGTTTAGTATTTCCTCATTACATTCAGCTTATGTGTTTTTGGAAGAAATAGTATAGAAGCATTATGTTCTTGTCAGTGCATTGTATCAGGCACATGGGGGCCGTTGCTAATCATGTTAACTTTAAATCACTGGATTAAAATGTTACCTGCCACATTTCTCCACGATAAAGTAATTTTTTCCCTTCATATTTAACAAGTACCTTGTGGGGAGATAGCTTGAGTTTTTGTGTCTTGTTTCTCATCAAATTTCCACTCACTAGTATTAGCAATTTTATAACGGTACTATAAGCTATGATTTTCTAATTCCATTGTTTCTTCTACATTTATAAGCATTCTTTGACAAGGAAATACTTACCTCTTCCCCCATAGAAAATAGCCAATGGGAGTCTTTTGTCCATTTTTCATGTCCCATCTTTTTCACAGGTATTTACCTAGTATTGGCCCCTGAAATATCAAATCTCCAAGGAACCCCAGTTTCTTTTATGGGAAATGCTCTTTAGAAACCAGTAGTTGAGCACGTACATGCTTATTCTTATTGGGTAGGAAATCCTGAGGAATGTACAAAAAGATGACTGAAACTTTGAGTTTAGCAAGGTCACGAGATATAAAATCAGTATACAAAAATAGTTCAATTTTCCTATACTAAAAATAAACAGAAAGTGTAATTAAAATAATAACACCAAAAATACAAAGGACTTAGGAATAAAATTTTAAAATATGTACAGGGTCTGTGCATTAAAAACTGGAAAGTTATTGCTGAGAGCATTAAAGACTTTAATGGAAATACCATGTTCATGAATTGGAAGACAATATTATTAAAGTGATAATTCTTCCCTTTGTAATTCCAAGTAAAATTCCAATAGATTTTTTGTAGAAAATGATAAACCGATTCTAAAATTTATATGAAAAATGAAAGGAATTAGGATCGCCAAAAATTTTTGACAAAGAAGAATACTGTTGATACTGTAGTGATCAAAACAATGTGATGATATTGGTGTTAAGGTAGGTATTTTAGATGAATGGAAGATTTGGAAATAGGTCTGTATGTATATGATCAGTTGATTTTTGACAAAAGTATTATGATAATTCACAGGGAAGATGATGGTCTTTTTTTCCCTGTAGCTTTTTTAAATTTGAGGTAAGACTACTTTACAGCACTGTGTATGATTTAGAGGACAAGGTTCACACCGCTTCAAATGTATGTTATTATACCACATCTGCCACCAAAGCCCCAATAATCCTCCACCATAGTCTGTTTTGTCCCTTTCCCCTTTCTTCATCACCTCTATCTAATAGCATCCCCCCACTAATAGGATCATTTCTGCATTTATATTTCTAGGGGTTGTTATGGTTTAGTTTTGTCTGTTCCTTTGTTTTATTTCTTTATATTCTACATACACATGAAATGAAATGATCGGCTGTTCAACAAAAGATGTGGGATATTTGTATAAAGGAAAAAAAACGGAGCCTTTCTTGACCATTACTTCACTCCATACACAAAACAAAACTAAAAACAAGAACTAAATACTGGTAAAATTCTTCCTGACTTTGAGGTAGGCAGGGATTTCTTAGGATGCAAAAAATCACAAACATTTAAAAGTTGATAAATTGAACTTCATCAAAATTTAAAACTATTTTTGGAAAAGCACTGATAAAATTGATTTAAATATCCGACATTGAATTTGACACCAGAATATATAAAAATTCTTTGCCCTACAAAGATTTGGAGAAACATTAATCCTAAGAAAGATCTATGAGTGGACAATAAGCACGTGAAAAGATTCAAATTATTGGTCAACATTATTGACCATCAGAAAAATACAAATAAAGCCACAATGAAATTCCACTACATGTCTACTAAAACTCTTGATAGGTTGATAATGCCAATTATCAGCAAGGATGCAGAACTGGAACTCTAATACTTGGTGGTGGGAATGTCTGATTATATGACCACTTCAGAGAACAGTGTAGAGATTTTTAAAAAGTTGACCCTACAACTCAGCAATCCCACTCATTTCTAACCAAAAGAAATAAAAACATTTTATTTATACAAGGACTTATACACAAATGTTCATAATAGCTTTATTTATAATAGTCTCAATGGAGCAAACAGTAGGTAAATGGTAAATTGTACCATATCTGCACACTGGAATACCCTGCCAGCAATTAAAAAGAACAGACTATCCATATGCACAGCAACATAGTGAATCTCACAAACATGCTGAGCAAAAGAAACGAAGTAGCAGAGAGTAAGTATATACTGTGTCAGTGCATTTTCATGAAATTAAAGAATAGGCAGCCCTTAATATATAGTGACAAAGCAAGATTAGTGGTTGCTTGGATCCAGGGCTGGTGAAAATTAGACTGAAACAAAACTACTTGGAGTGTTGGAAATATTACATATCATGGTTGTGGTCACTATCATGTATTTTGAAATATATTTTATACAAGTATATGTTTGTAAACACTCATTAACCTATAGTTAAATGAGTGTATTTTGTTGTATGCTAGTATAAACTCAAAGTTCATTTACAAAGGGAAAAAAATTAGAGAAATAGTAATATTTTATAATAGTAAATTAATTTGGGCATAATTACATTTTCAAATTAGATTATCGCTATTGTTTTTTTGGAAAGACTGGTTTTTTAATTTAAAATTTTTCCCTAACCAGGTTTTTTATTTAAATCATTTCTTTCTAAATATCTTTCCTAAGAACAACTTTAAGTGCCTAACAATGACACTTAATCTTTTTTTTTTTTTTTTTTTTTTTTTTTTAATAGAGGCATGCTTTATTTATTTGTTTGCTGGTTTGTTTGTTTTGTTCTGTTCATACATGCACTGGGTACAGTCAGAAGCGCGGGAGGGTGAGAGAATTCACCAGAGCCAGAGCGGGGAGCAGAGCAGGCAGAAGGACCGAAGCACACTGCTGAGGGGAGCAGCGGGCGGCAGGAGAGGTCTGCACGCCATGTGGGACCCTCCTCCGGTGGCCGGGGAGCAGCCGGGGATCGAACCGGCGCCGCAGAGGCCGCGTGCAGCTTCGCAACCCAGCGCTCAACCGCTGCGCCACCGGGGAGGCCCGACACTTAATCTTGGTAGAAAATCCTAGTAGAAAATAAGCAACAATTTAATGCTTTATTCAAAAACAAAGTGGCCATTTTTTCTTCCTTCTAAGAAATAGCACAGCTAACCTACAGTGTTCCCCACATGAACAGTCTTAAAAGGCAACAGTAGGAGGTCAAAAGAATTCTTGCTGGTAGGATAGGTAGGATAAAAAAAAACACCCCTGTAGTGACCCACCTCCTACTGTTTCCTTTATGCAGCTACTGAAATGAAAATCCTCTGCAGTGTTGGCAAGACATGGCCCTTGACCTTCAGGTGCTTTCACCCTAATAGAAGAACAAAAGTAAAACACAAGAAGCAATTAAGACTTGAAGTGAAGTCAGTTCCCAGAAGGGAGAGCTAGCAAGGCACTGTAGAACAGTCAAGGAAAAAAAAACTTAACCTGTCCTTGAAAGATTGAGTCAGAATAGTGTTTGAAAACAGAGATGAGGAGTGTCACATGTGATGAAGAGAATAAGCAGATAAGAAAGAAGAGTGCACATTGATAAAAGCAAAAAATTTAATTTGGCATAAAATAAAATAAACTTGAATTCTGTCAACACAAGTAGATCTAAGATGCATGTAATGTTGAGCAAAAGTGGCAAGTCAGAGGGGAAGAAATGTACTCAGGAATTATTAATCAAACAAGAGCACTTGCCTAACCTTCAGATCCATGTAAATATCTGCTTACTGGACATCTGCACCAGGTTCTATCCCATATTCTGTCATAACTTAATCAAAATTAAAGTTAATATCTTTTCCACCTCACCTGTCAGCAAATGTTTAATGAGTGCTGCAATATCTCAGATACTGTAGCCTTTCTGTTTTCCCTTCCAAGAAGAAATAACATAGCTTACCTAGAAGTGTTCCCCACAAAGCAGTCTTATAAGGCAACTGTAAGAGGGCAAAAGAAAAGTCTTTCTGGTAAGATAAACATCGCAGTGGTGACTCAGTCACCTTCTGCCCTTTCCTTTATGCAGCTACTGAAATGTTGCATAGAGTACAGAATCAGACAGACATGATCCTAATTATTAGAAATACTATATTACCAATACACCTGCAATCATCTGGTAAAGAATAGGGGTGTTGTGTGTCCCCAGCATAGGGAACAGCTGTACACATGTGAAGACCGAGTAGTAGGAGATCCATCTCCATATCTCCCCACAGTTCAAAATAATCCTACGTACACATTCTTTACATTTTCTCTCCTCTGCAATTAAGATGATGAATTTTAAAAAATTTTGTAGTGAGAATTTTTTAATTTTTTTTTTTCCTTCAGATCCCAGCTCTCACTATGTGATCACCCTGAAAGCGTTTAACAATGTGGGTGAAGGCATTCCCCTGTATGAGAGTGCTGTGACCAGGCCTCACACAGGTAAAGTTAACATTCTAACTCTTTTCAGCAAAGTAAGTAAAACATGGCCTGAAGCCTGCCCCTCAGGTATCAGTGGAAGGAAAAGTGTATGGCAACTTAGGATGTAGGCTTCAAATAGGAAAACAGACTTTCAACATGGACTATCCTGTTTTGCTTTTTTGGAAAATGCTATCCTGTCATGTAAACAATTCTATGTAGATACCTAACACATGTTTTTAATGTGTTAGGACCTAGAAGGCATAGTTTTGAAAGAATTAAAAGTAATTTTTCATCTTTCAGTAGCATAAGTTATAACTAAACTGAGCCAAAAAATGTTTGTGGTGGTGTATCTCACATTTCCTTTACTAGTCCACCTGAGTTGGTGGGGAGAATTTTGTTCTATGTGCCTTCCTTTTTTTAATGATCAATTAATTTTTTCAAATTTTTCTTATTGAGGTAACATTGGCTTACAACACTGTATATGATTCAGAGGTGTAGGATCACACCCTTCAGGTGTATGTTACCATACCACTCCCATCACCAAGCACCTACATTGCGCCACCTTAGTCTATGTGCTAGTCTCAAGCTTTATTTATATAAAGTCAGGTGTTCTCTCCGTTTGAACAACTATATTTCTTATAAAAAGACCAGGTACTCATCACTTTTTCTTTGTAATTTATTAAAATGAAAGAATATAATATAAAATTTCTGAGAAATTAAAAGACATTGAATTTGTATATGAATGAGAAAGTTTATTGAACTATTTCAGTTGTAAATTTTTCTAGAAAGTACTGAAAACTAAAGAATTTATCATTTTCAGAAATGTTCTTTTTTATTTGTTTCCCAGAATTGTGAATCTGTATTGCCTCCTATAAGTTCTGGATACTTTACATAATATAGTATAGATTTGGCATTATTCTTTGTAAAAAGATAATCTCGTCTTTCTTGTTTCTTTTTAAGCTTTTGCTTAACAAAACCAGCATCATTACTATGTGTTTGGTTGCTCTCTCCTGTCTTCTGCTTCGATGTGCTTTCAATTTACAAGTTATTTTAAATATAGCTTTGGTGTTCCAGAAAGAAGAAAAAAAAAAAGTAAAACCAGAAAGGGAATATTTAAGTAAATGGTTTACTGTTTCTCAAATAAGCCTTTAATAGAAATTTTTTTAATTGTAATCTGTTATGTGAGTTAAAAATATAGCCCTCTTCCTAGAAATAGACCAGGAAATGTTCTTGTAATCTAGTTATCATTTCGAAGAATTGTTACCAATAAGAAAAAAATTTCTCAAAGTATTCTAATGACTTTGCACCTGAAGGTGCATTTTCTGTAACTAATTGGTATGTGTCCTAACAATCTTTGAACAAAGCCCTTGATTATAATGTATGCTGTTCCTCTGTTATTTTTAGTCCTCATTGTGCAGGAAATACACAAACAGAGACTCTTAGTTTGACTTGGCAATTACTCATAAATACGACCTATGCCATTTCAGATTCTGAGTTATAGAAAGGACTCATCTCCATAACCATGTGGAAAGCCCATTTTAAATAAACATGACATTACTATAAACTGGTGTGCATATACTTAGAAAACCTGAGAGTTGGGAAAGTCCAAATCCATCCTTTTGTGTTGCCCTGAACTTCCAGTGTTTGATCCTTTGATACTCATTCTGGTTGCTGTGCTTTCCATAGTGAATGTGTCTGTTGCATATGCCACAAGATCAGCATATGAACTACAGACTTTCCTATCATCTAAGTACTCTGATTTTTAAAATTCAAAAAGGCTATGTCATTTGAACCTTTGATAACCATGATATTTCTCATAACTGATTGGGATGCCTCAATGTATTGTCCCCTGACTGTACTGGAAAAGTGTAGCAAAGAGTCTCTCATGATAATCAGCTTGCCTTTCCTCAAAAACAAGGAATGCTCTCATTTCCTTTTTCTTTAATTTTGATGGGACCATATTGTTGTACTGCTTTTAAGCCCAGGATGTTAGCATATGTGAACTTGACCCTTTGGGGTATCAGATAACGCCTAAAATAAGGTCATTTGCTAAAATAAAATGGACTCAGATTTGACAGTAAGACCAAATATATATCTAGTGATTTGCATTGGTAACCCAAGTCCCAAAAATTCAGTCACAGTCACTGAAATATCAAAACAGATACTGAGCCTTGCATTGCTTATCCAGAAATTATACCCTTGCTTTTAAAAGCAGTTATCTTTTCAGGATCCTTTTTGGACAGGAGGAGGAGATAGCTTTCTTAAGTAATTTAAGGAAATTCAAGTATGGCTACATTAAAATCACTATTATCAAATTTTAATTGTCTACAGAATACAGTAGAGAAAATAGTTCATTCCTGTTTCTTTACATATTTTTCCTGAAAGAACACAAATGGAAATACTCTTAAATGAGTGGTGGTTATCTATTAACACTGGATTCTCTTCTCTTTTTTTCCATTTCTCACCTTTCATTCCATTCTATTGCCCTACATTTCCCTTTTCTTTTCTTTTTGTTTATGTTAAAATGCCACTTCCCTTTTTTAATTACTTTTTACCCAGACACTTCTGAAGTTGATTTATTTGTTATTAATGCTCCATACACTCCAGTGCCAGATCCCACTCCCATGATGCCACCTGTGGGAGTTCAGGCTTCCATTCTGAGTCATGACACCATAAGGATCACATGGGCGGACAACTCACTGCCCAAGCACCAGAAGATTACAGACTCCCGGTATTACACAGTCCGATGGAAAACCAACATCCCAGCAAACACCAAGTACAAGGTATTGACACATTTGCTCTGGGTGAGAAAAGCTAATTATTGATATTATGTAATTCTGAAGTTTTTGCTTCATATGTTTCCAGAATGCAAATGCAACAACTTTGAGTTACTTGGTGACTGGTTTAAAGGCAAATACACTCTATGAGTTCTCTGTGATGGTGACCAAGGGTCGAAGATCAAGCACGTGGAGTATGACAGCCCATGGGACCACCTTTGAGTTTGGTATGTATTGTCAGAACCTACATCACATGGCATTTCTTCTCTTTACAAGACGTGAAGGCCAGTGGAAGTTCACGCTAATGTTCTGCCACATTTCAAGTCATGAGACTTATCATCATCTGCTTTTGCTACATAACCAAGGGAAGAATTGAATGCATTAATTAAACACAATGCTACTATAGTAGGAGTTCCTCAGTTTTTCAACTGATGAATTTTTTTCATCATTGTACCAGAACACTAGCAAATAACAGTAATACAATGCAAAACACACTAGATTTTAGGGATCAAGAGACTTGTTCAATCCCAGATCAACCACTTACTGAGTGATTTAAACATAATCATCCAACCTCTCTGAATCCATTCCTTCCAATAATAAAAGAAAGATGATAATCTCTGCCTTTCCTATTTTGTAGGATTATTGTGAAGTTAAAATGAGGAGCAGATGGGAACACACATGGTTAATTATAAAACACATAGAATTAGGGATTATTGTCTTTTATCCTGCTTTCCTGGTAAATTGAGACAGAAAAGTTCACGTTATCTACGCTTGACAGCTGCCAATGTCGTGCTTACTAGAACCTGAGCACTGTATTAGGGACCCCAAAGCTTTCTTGCAAATCAGTTGGCCTTGCAAAGATTAAGGCAGTATCTCATAAAAGCTCCTTCTGAAGTATTAGGGTTTTTGTCTGTAAGTAAACATGAGAGAGAAACAATAACTGAGCAAATTAAGAGGAGAAAGTGTTTGCTTATTGCTCAGTTTGGTAGGCCTGCCCATGTATCCTTTGTACTATCCAAATTTGGGGATATGTGTAAGCATTGGGGTCTCTGACCTCCTGTCTTTTTCCTCTTCTATACATGAATTTAAAAATGAAATATAGAAATCTCCCCAAACTAGGCTTGACCTTAATGTCTTGATCTTCTTGTGTTTGGACTTCCTACAAAGGAGAAGGTTGAATTTACAGAGCTAGAAATATAGTATGCAAACTTAAATAAACCTTGAGTTTGCTTTCTTTACCAGTTTTTAAGATTTTAATGCTTTAATTCCAACCCACTAGCTAATAAATGATACTGTGTATTCCCTTAGGTTATTTGTATTTCACCAGGCTTTTCCATTTTGTGTTAGGAGAATTTGACAGAGGGAAGAATAAATTTAAGACTACACTTTGAATTTACTTATTTCCTACTAATACAAAAAGTTTGCAGCCTTAATATGGAAACACAACAAACACACTGTCATTTTTATTTTATGGGTTTTTTCCTTGTGAATCCTTTACCTATAAGAGCAATAATTTCACATAGTTGGTAAGATGTTTTCACTGTAAACTTAAAATAAAAAAAATCAATTTGTAAATCTTTCTTTGAAGGAATAGGGATTTTTAAACATTGTATTTGGTTACAAGAGCCAAAGGAAAATTTATTATTCTAATAAAATAATTCAAATTGCAAAGTCAGGGGAATGCCATATTGGCAAATTTTATGACTTTTCTCATTTTCAGTGTCCTCATCTGTAAAGCAGAGATAGTGGAACTGCCTTTTAAGGTGTTGTTAATATTTAGTGAAATACTATTTGTAAAATGACAGCCATATAGTATTTGGTAACTACAAATGCCATTTGATTTCCTTACCTAACTGTTCTATACGTCCCTGATCCCAGTCAAGTTATGTATCCTTATAGTATGGTATTTTCTCTTTGGTATTTGGCATATTCTTTTTTTTATTACTTTATGAATAGATAGTAAGTTCTTTAGAGCCAGGAGACTTACCCTTTTTGTCTTATATCATTTATTATGCTTATAAATGGAAAGGGTTGCGGAAAGGTGAATTAAGATGAATGGGAATTACTGAAACTATTGTTATTTTGTAGTTCCTGCTTCTCCACCTAAGGATGTGACAGTTGTGAGTAAAGAGGGAAAACCTAGGACCATAATTGTAAATTGGCAGCCTCCCTCTGAAGCCAATGGCAAAATTACAGGTAAGATGCCTTTGATTGTGTCTGTTCCCTGTTCTCAACTAGCAGAAGCTTTCTAGGAGACTGCTGTGTTACTGGGAAAAGAGGGAATCAGAAGGCTGACTGGATCTTTTTATGAGGTGCTGTGAGTCATGTTGGGCCTTGCAAATGGAGCAAGGAGGGGTTGTGTACCCAGTGTGACATAACCAGGTATCCAGTTTGTCCTAACTCAACTGAGTGAAAGTATGATGAATGTGGGTTGCATAATACAGCCTTTGGCTATAATGGGTCCTTGCAGACATATTTATTTTCTTCAGAAAAGCTATTTTCTTTCTCTGATTAGATGGCCAGCTTTGACTTTGGAGATATCCTCCTCCAAACCTAATTATGTAGGGTAATATCCAATAAATACAGATTGTGTTCTTTTAACCTAGACTCCCCAAAAAGGCTTTTAATTCCTTTTTTTCCTCCAAACCTACTTCTTTAGCTTCCTGTGCTCTTATAACTAGAATTAAAAGTTTGACTTGGCTCAGGCCTTTGAAGGGACCTGGTGTTTTTCCTTTGACTTGCAGAAGAGAACCTTCCACAGCAGAGAGGGTAGACACTAGGCCTTCCTTTGCTTTTTCAAGGAGGAAAGCCTGATGGGATTTGAATGCTAATTATTCCCTTTGTAACTTCTGTTCCATAAGTAGGAGTATGCTGTGGAGCAGGAGTTTGCCTTCTGAAGTTCCTTTTCATGAATTAGGTGGCCTAAGGAAACTGGAAGCATTTCTTAGCATTGCCCCACCTTGACTTTCACTAGGAATCCCTTTCTGTAAATCTCTAGTCTTTGTGGCTTTTTTTTTTTTTTAGGTTGTGAATTTGCCTCTTCCATAAAAGCATCAAGCATGCTTTGGCTTGGATTACTTTTCACTTTGTCTTAAAAAAAACCAGTAATAATATAGTGCATTTTGCTGTGTGGGGGTCAGGTAGGCGTGTGGCTCTTCTTTCCTCAACCACAGGGATTGAGTGCCCTCTGGTGGAAGGAAGTATCAGGTGACTTGTCACTATCACCCACCCCAGTGACCTTAAAGGTCATAGTCTGTCTCCCAGGAGTTTTTCTCCCAGGAAGTCATATTGGCAAGAGCTAAAGCAGCATGTCGGGCCATTGTTAGTTTTCATAACTGCATTATTTTAATTGTAGACCCTTGAAGGGTAACATTATTCAAATATTCAGGTTATTTATAGTAATTAGATTATGTTTCCTTATTTGATTTCTTAGCTTCTGAGAGTACTTAACCCTATATTTTTATCTGTGACTATCACTTCAGCTGTTGTATAGATGGTAACTTATAGCCTGATGCTGTTGAGAGTGTGGTTTTCTACATATTATGTTTAGCGTAGCATTGCGAATGCATTTACCACTATTCTAACCAGTATCTGATTTTTTGCCCATATGTGCTGTAACTTATGTCTTTATTGACTTTTTATTACAAAAGAAAACACAGAAATAAGATCTTTTCCCGTTAACTCTTTTGGACAGGTTACATCATATATTACAGTACGGATGTGAATGCAGAGATACATGACTGGGTCATTGAACCTGTTGTGGGAAACAGGCTGACTCATCAGATTCAAGAGTTAACACTCGACACACCATACTACTTCAAAATCCAAGCCCGGAACTCGAAGGGCATGGGGCCCATGTCTGAAGCAGTCCAATTCAGAACACCTAAAGGTAAAGCTCCCAAACAGGTTTTATGATGTGTCTCTTTAGTGGGACTATGCTCACACATATCACTTTGGCTGTTGAGACTGGATAATAGATGTCCTGAAGATAAGCATTATGAGCCACAGTGTGAAGATGTCTCTTAAAACGACCCCTTACCCACTACTGGCCACCAAATCAATGCTCCTTAGGTTGCTGCCTAACCATATCATAACCAGGGGACTTTGACTCCAGGCTTTTTGAGGCTGATAAAGTACAGTGATGTAAAAGTTTTCACCAGTGAGATCAGATGCACTTTTCTTGCTTCCCAGAGTAATAGCATGTTATTGTGAGAAATTCTCTTTCAACAAATTAAGGCTCTTAAACTAAAAGGCTTTTCATGGACATTTGTAGAGTGAAAGATGAGAGAGAGAGACAGAGACAGAGACTAAAGGGGGGCCCTTTAAAGAAAACTTTGGATAAGAAAGTGAAGGTAAAGTATTGGACCAAGTGACTAGTCGGGGACTGAATATAGGAATATGGAAACCCAATGCGGATTTCTATTAGTACCATAAACAAGATTCAATTTGTTTAGAACGTTGTGGGGTTTTATTTTTCCTTTAAAAATTCTGCCTCTCCCATCTTCAAAGCTTGTGATCCTTGCTCTTGTTTTTTCTTCCCCTGTGCTTGGCCTGTTAGCGGACTCCTCTGATAAAATGCCTAATGATCAAGGTAAATGAGTAGATGGCCTCTCCTTCCTCTCCTCTCTTTTGTGATCTATTGTTAGCTTTTTGTTGTTTTTGTTTCTTTTTTCCTGAAAATCTGTATTAAAATGCACATATTTATTGGCCAAAGTGGAGTTGAGTCCATGTCTATGGCACTTGGGGTATCTGAAAAGCTGGGGAATCTACTTAGAAGCTAAAATGACTGGTGGAAAAAAACTGAATCACATAAACTGAGTACTGCAGCTGTAGGAAATTGACCTCAAGTGTGGGTCAGATTATCCTTTGTGCTAAGAGATTGATATTCTGTAACAATGATAGGCATTTGGGCCTTGAGAACAGCATACTAATTTTTCATATTTGAAAATCTTAGCATTTAAGATTTTAACAGTATCTCTAAATGAGAAGTTGTAATCAAATTCAGTGAATACCCTATATTCCTCTTCACACAAAGACTACAAATTTAGCTACTGAATTATGTGATTATCTCTAGCAAAATTAGTGCTATATATTCTGTTACTGTAGGGTTTAATTCAGAATTCTTTTTTCATGTCTTCTCTTAAATATATCTGTTCATTTTAAAAGAGAAAAAAAACATTGGAAATTGAAACGTAGGAAGTATGTGCCTCAGTGTCACCATTCTTGAAACTGTCAGCATGGTCTTTTCATTATAACTGCTGTGGTGGAGCAGTAACTGTACTTGTGATTTTCATCTCTGGGAAGTCAGCTGAAGTTGGTACCTGTTTTCTATGCTGAGAAAAAGCAATAAAAATAAATTTGATGGTTGCTTTCATGGTATAAGAGAAATTATTAGAAATACAAAGTCATTGATCTTGGTTAACAGCAAGGAAGAGTCAGAACTTGAGGCTTCAAGCTTCAGAGCTTTGGAATTATGTTCCCATTCAGTGAGTCTTTCGCTGCACGTTGGAGAAACTGTGTATGTGCTTTTTATGTGTGCGTGGAAAGCATCCTAATCATGTTGGGAACTGTGACTCAAGCATGAAAATAGAAAAATAACCATACTGCATATGCACAGGATATAAATGTGGTTATTGTCCTTTCCTGACCTCTTTTGATAGCCAGGGTACAGTTCTTAACTATACCACACCTCTGGTGTTTAAAATTCTTTACCCATATTTATCTTGGTATTTGGTTAGTCCTTGGAATTTCTTGTTTAGAGGTTACCTTTAAAAGAATATTGGGAAATATAGGAATCATACCAACCTATTTATTGACAAGTATGTTCTTTGGCAATTATTTACTTAATATGATATTCTGGATAGTTTGGCCTGTGGTCTACCCGACACCTAAGTATACTTACATATGAAGAGCCTAAAAAGTGCTAAGCCATCTCTGCCATTTAGACATTATCATATTGAAAAGAACTGGAATTTTGAGATATGGTGTGTACTATTTGGGAGAAATAATGGCAAAAGAAGTAAGGAGATTAAGGGAGAAGTGTGAACAATGGAAAAGGGATCGGGGCTTTGAGTTAAATTCTAGAATATGCCCTTTGGAAACCCAATAATTTCTGTTACCTTTGGGAATTTTTAGCTTCCAGAAGCAGAAAATGTTTTCATCTCTAGATTTATTCTGTTATGTGAACTAGATATAGAAACTTCAAGTTTCAATTTCTTTCACTTCCCCCAAGTCTGCTAATTTATGGAATTTCTTGACATCAGCTCTAATGTTTTACAGAAACACATCCAGTTTATGCATTTCTAGTCAAGCTTTAGTTGTAAAAATAACTTATTTATAAGTGTTTCCTGAAGCTTCATGCTCTCTGCCTCTGTAAAGGAAAGATTATATTCTTCCCTAAAGATTTATTATGCTTGTGATAATAGTAGTTAGTATTTATTGAACATTTGCTATGTGTCATTTTGTAGTACTCAAAATAATTTATAGGATTAAAATTTAATCCTCACAACAACTTTGTGAAGTAAATACCATTGTTATCACTGTTTTACAATGAGGAAATTGAAACCCAGAAAGAATAAAAAACATACCAAAAGCCATTCAATACCTGATGGAGCCAGTATCCAGGTGCATCCACTATTCAGTGCTGTGCTGTTAACAGTGAGGAGCAGTTTTTACTCCTCACTCCCTTCAGACCTCTTCAAGGGACAGTGTGATACTGCTTTCTAGTCCCAAACCTTGGATTGAGAAATACCTTTGCCTTATTGGGAAAGGAATCCTTGTATTTGCTTTACCAAAACACCTTTTTCTTTATGTGAAGAACAAAGTTCAAGATCAAGAATACAGAATTCTAAGAATTATTGGTGTTTTATGTTTTCTGAGGCCTGCTTAAGAGGTTTCCCAAGTCTAAGGTCAGAAGACCCACTTGCTGTATTTCCCCATGAAATACAGCAGGAGACAGTGTCCTTTGTGAGCAACCAAAGGGAAGACTTTGTTTCTTCTATCTTTGGATATTTAGGTTGCTGCACAGGAACTAAGACCCCATTTTGATCTTCTGCTTGCCTTCCTGTTCCTGCTTAGGTTAACTTTATATTTAGAAAGGCAACTGTATAATTTGGAATAGAATTCAAATGATACAGACACCTACTAAGTCAGATCAACATAGCTAGATCCCCTGAAAGAGTCCAGGTCTTTTGTGTAGAAGTTAACCTAACAGATCTCCTTAGTTCTTTTCTAAGAGAAGCTACTTTTGCCATAGTATTCTGAGCAGCCTTTCTGGAACTGTTTCCTGAGGTAGAGAAATGGATGTGTTCCCACCCCTCCTAAACAGGGAGTGACAAACCCAGAGAGAACTGTGTAATAGGGCTTTCAGCCTTTCAGATGCCTCATTGCGTAGAAAGTTACACTTTAGTTTGCTTTGTACAAATAGGCTATATTTTGTTCCCTGTTGTTTATGTGCTACTTCGTTTTCTCATGGACAGAGTAGACTGAAATGTTTTGTAGGAAACATTCACTGGCTGTGAAGTGGACTTGTCACACCAGAGTGTTGGGTTAATAATGACATGATTTCTTCTGCTTCAGCCTCAGGGTCTTCAGGAAAAGGAAGTCGGCTGCCAGACTTAGGATCTGACTACAAACCTCCAATGAGCGGTAAAGCCTTCCTGTGTCTTTCTTGGCCTATTATGGATATGAAGCAGTTCTTCTTGAACTCTTGAAATGCCTTTTGTAACTTGTATGTCATGGGTTATAGCATTTAATAATTAATAGATTTGGCTTTAGGCATTTTCCAGCAAATGTTTGCTAAATTACCATAAACCCATTCATTATAGGATCCAGAAATAAAATTGTTTCCCTTTATATCCAACTTAAAATAAGATTAATTTTAAACAAATGAATCTTCCTTTTGCCACTGCCTCTGGAAAGAAATAGAATCTTATACTTTAAAAATAAAATGTCTAATGGAATTAACCATTGCACAGAAGAGCAAATCAAAGAAATACTTCAGAATCATTGATTTCTCCCTACACGACTTCAGTGTTTTTAGTTTGGGAATTCTCTAAAGTTCTTTCAGTCTCCTAGCCATCCTGTTCACTTAAATGGTGATACCTACTTCTCCACAGAACTTGCCCATTTGTAATTTACTTTCACACTTTCATTCATTTGCTCCTCATAATATTGTGCAGCTGGGATAGATCTCTTTTTTTTCCATTCTGTGCATTAAGAGGCAATGTGGAAAAGTATTGTGCCTGGAGCCACCTACTAAGTATGGAAGTTGTAGCACCAAAACCTAGGTCTTCTGATTTCTGGTTTCTGCTGTCATATGCAGCTTAAAAGTCATGGGGTTCTACACCAGATGTGGGAATCCAGAGTGGGGAAATGTCCACAAACATATTGCCATGCATTTATATATACTATTATTACTTCTGCACACTGTCTCCCCTCTAACCTTGCATATCTCTTTTAGCTTAAGCAACACTGGGCTACCTTTCTCTTTGCTGAACACGCCAAGTTCATTTCTGCCTTCCATTAGCTAGAAGGAACCTTCCACTAGCTGATCACTCAGTCTAAAATATTCTTCCTCCAGGTCTTAGTGTTGTGTGACCTGAATCTTAGCTCAAATGCCATCTCCAGAGTTTTTTTCCTACCATCCAATCTAAAATAACCACCAGTTATTCTGTATCATAGCCCCTCAGTTTATATAGTCTTCCCCCACTCCCACCCCAATATTCACATCTTTGTTGTTCACTGGCACATAATAACCACTCAGTAAATATTCGTCAGATTAATGTATCATACACATCTTTTTCCTGAAATTGAATAAGAGCATTAACTCTGCATAGACTGTATATTTATAAAAACAGACTATTTTTCAAGTAATTTTTTGTGATGTCTGAGAGAGATACACACACACACATACATAGATATGTATGTATATTGGGAAAAACTTGCTTTCTATGAATATACCCTTTTAAAATGGTTCTGAAAAGCAGAAAATTAAATGATTTATAGAAGGTGCTTTATAAGATGACGACACTGGAAGGGCAGACCCTTTATTTGTCCATATGTAACATTCAATACAATTTGAGAAGCTTTCACTGAACAACTTTGTGCAAGCCACAGAGAACTACACATAAGGCAGAAACTCTGCTCTCTAGATTCCATAATCTAGAGGACACAGCCCTGTTCAGCAGACACTTACAAAAGGCATGTGATGTGTGCCACAAAGCAGCTCACATGGAGTTTTTGTCTCTACATGAAAGTTTATAGCCTGATTGCATGCATTTTGAGAGTTCTCTAACACGAACAAAAATGTACCGTTTTTCCCTCTCCAGGCAGTAACAGCCCTCATGGAAGCCCCACCTCTCCTCTAGACAGCAACATGCTCCTGGTCATCATCGTTTCTGTTGGCGTCATCACCATCGTCGTGGTGGTGATCATTGCTGTCTTTTGCACAAGGCGCACCACCTCACACCAGAAAAAGTAAGAGCCTAAATATAGCCCATGAACTTGGAGTGTATTTTTATTGTTTCTATGTAACTTCTATATTTGGAGTGGTACACGAAGTTAAAGCATAAAATTCAGGAAAAGGGCTGTTTTAATATTTTTAAGGAAAATGCAGAATGGTTTCTTTTATAAACATGTATCAATCAGGGTTCTGCCTGGAGAAGAGGTGGCACACTCACAAGGAGTGAATTTATTGAAGGGACCAGTAAGTCACGGGCAGGGACAGGGGGCAGCAGGCAGGGAAGTTCAGAGGCCAGCAGCAGTTGCAGTCCACTGTTGCCCTTAAGCTTAGAAGGGCAAAAATTCTTTCTGGAGAAGAGAGCTGTTTTCAGAGTTGTGAAGCAATAGGAGGGAACTCCTGAATACAACTCTGTCTGGTGCTAAGAATGTTGCCTTTGCTAGCTTCTAACCCAGTAGGGAGCTGCCCCTTAAGAGAGAAAAACCCTCCTATTTCCAGGCTCCTGCCTGTACCTTTTAATGGCAACAACCCAACAAAAACCAGGGGTAGGGTTGCTAAGTAGATGCAGTTCATTTAACTCAGCCTCTCCAGTTACAGAGCTAGGTAGAGAAGGGGTTCTGATGAGGAGTATGGACATGTCCAGCATCCTGGAGGCTGGTGCGGAGTGCTGTCTGCACACACACCCAATGAGCCAGGCACACAGGAATATGTGTGACGAGTTTGCAGGCTCCTTCACAGGACAGATGCCAGCTGAGATGGAAGCAGACCATAGGCCTTTATTCTGAATCTGAGTTTAAGCACTTTAAAGTGCTACCAAATGTAAAAGCTGAGGTTGGGACTGACTGGGGTAAGGCAGCTAGAGATGTATTGATTTAATGAGTTAAGAAACAATCATGTATAGACATAAATTCACAGACAGGTAAACTGCTTGAAAGCTCTGAACTCCTCTGGGAGTTTGAGGCTAGTGGCTGATTGCATAGAGCAGCCAGCGAGGAGATGTAGTAATGTAGAACTTGGTGACAGCAGCTTATTCTCCTAAACTTGACAGAATTCTTGACCCTAGATTACATTCTCCTAAACTTGACAGAATTCTTGACCCTAGATTACACTCACTGGCCAGTGAGACATAACAAAAATATATATATATATTAGAGTTACCCCTAATAACAAAAACACAAAACTTTGGTTGTAGTGTCCTTAAGATCATAAGATGGAGGAGCTGCCCCTTAAGAGAGAAAGAAATTCATGTCTGTTATCATTCGTCAGATTTGGTCTGCCCAAGACAAGCATGCTTATACTTAATAAATTTTTTTAATAGAAAAGACATGAACAAGCTACCCTGTAACTGCTGCTAGTAATCGCTTTATATCATTTTATATCGGTTATGTGATGATTTTGAGCTTTCTTTTGCCCGAATGAAATAGCTTTTTTTTCATACCGTCACTTGTCCAAGAAAATGGGGGCTCCTTTTGTAAGCCTGATCACTGCCTTTTACTGTTCTCCCTGTCTACTTTGGATTATAGAAATGGTTTCTTTGAAAAACTTCAAAGATTACATTTTTTCTACTCAAAAAAATATTCTGCTAGCTTCTTGTCATGACAAATTCATCTATCTCTGTGAACTTGATTTTATATCTTGTTTTAGAAATCTTGAGATATTTATTTAAGGAATCATTTTTAAAATGGCAGTTCCTTAGTGCTTTGGGAGATTTAAAATTCAAAATAAAGCACTTAGTCTCCAGATCTAGAGGTGGGAAAATGGGTTGATAATAGACTCTATACTTTGTATTTGAAGCTTTAAGTCCTGCAGATTTGAGTCTCTTTGTTTAAAAGAATTGTGTCAAGTCTTCACAGGGCTTTCCCCTTCCATCTCCCTGTGACCTGCTTTCCAAGTTTTCCATCAACCATTGAAAAATGTAAGTGAGCTTTTCTTACTTTCTTCCTCTCTGATGCCTGGATATCTCCTATTTCAATGGTAGCTGTTTATAGACTCTTATAGCCTCAAAGTTAACAGAGCATATAAAGTCTAGCCCTTCATTGCTTCTCAGCACGTTTCTCTTTCACCCACTCCCTCCCAGAAGATGACCTCCTCCATGAAGAGAGGGAAAGCCATCATCAGATGAAAACTACCTCAGTCTACCACCATCAGATCTAAAGGTCCTTCTACATTGAGACTAATTGTTTTCTCTCCCTTCTATGTATACTTCCTCTTGTCCAACGCCAGTTCCTCATTTATCCTCATCTCACTGTCCCCTCTTTCTAAGACCTCACACTTGCTGTTATCCCTCTCCCCAGCACAGCTTACCTCTTAGTCTCTATTGACTCCATGCTTCAGCATATAAGTGTGCTCAAACTTCTTACATCTTTAGAAATAGTTATAATTATAACCCTCCCACTACTGCATGTTCCTTGTCCCTAGCTGTTCTAATTCCTTGTTTTTCCCATCCCAACAAAATTTCTTGAATACTGGTCTACACTCAACTTGTTCATGCTTTCACTATCTAATCATGCTTCAATCCTTTCTAAATTCTGCCCCTATCACTTTTGCTTTTGCTGAGGTCACCAGTGATTTTCCTATTGCTAAAGCCAAATTCTCAACAGTGCTTGATATCAACTATTCCTTCCTTGTTGAAACATTCTCTTCTCTTATATTCTGTAATTGCATATATGTTCTTTTTTACAGCCCTCCTGTCTGTCCGGCCATCAAATGCAGACATGCTTAAGGGACTCGCCATAGACTTGCACTCTTCTTTATTTCCCCTAAGTGATATCTCCTACTCCCATGGCTTCATTTACTCCCTGCATCCTAGCTACTCCTATCTTTCTGTCTCCAGTGAAGGCCTCTTTCTTTTGAGTCTCAGTCTTGCATACCCAGTTGTCTCTTCAGCATTTCCTCTAGACTAGGCTCAGAAGCACATGCATGTCCAAACCAGAATTAGTCAGCTTGTCTGTCAAACATGTTTCAACCCCATTGTTGGTAAATGACTTAAAACAGAACCTTTGGCATCAGCATTTACCTTACTTTACTCCCACCCTACCCCACATTTATCCACCAAGCTGTGTCATTTCTGCCTCCTAAATAACTGTCAAAGTTGCCTCTTCCTCCATTCCTACTATCCTAAGCCCCCATCAGTCCTGCCTGAAATGATGTGATATCCCAGTTGGTCTCCTTTTCTGAATCCCACCCCTGAAATCCATTCTTCACACTACAGTTGGTATAAATTTTTATCTCAAAATTGATCTCCTTACCTCCTTAAAACCATTTAATGGTTTCTTACTACTCAGAGAGGGAACTTCAGACTCTCAGCAGAGCGTTTTCTGTTTGATGGCAGACTCTCTTTCCAGCATCATTCTCCCCATGGTTCACTCTGTTCCCACCACTCAGAACTCCCTGCAGTCCTTCCAGCGTATCAGACTATTGCTCTATACTGCAGGGATTTCACATAAGCTGATTCCACCGCCTAGAAGGCACCTTCTGCCCTGCATCCATTTGTTTAAATATCACTTTTTTCCTGTCTACTTTATATTCACCTGTTAAGAACCTACTATAATGCTTGGTGTTTTATTAAGCTCAAGGATTTTAAAATAATAGCTTGATATCTGTCTGCGTGTGTGACCAGAAATACTGAGGACATAGCATTCCAGCACAAGATTTGACATAGAGTAGTATAGGTACCTAATAACTGCTTACTGAGTAGGGAAGGGAGAAACTAAGGCACGGAGAACTGGATGCTGCTATTCCCATTCCTGACTTGCCCACTTGGTAGTTCTAGTTGGGGTTCTTCTTTCATAAGCCACCACCTTTACCTTTACTCTGTTGCTATATTTCTAATTAATGTTGTCTATTCTCTATTGATTGGAAGTTTGTGGGGGAACTTTTTGGTTTAGAGCTTATTTGATCTTAAAATGCTGTCTAATCTGTAGATACTCAAAAAAAATAGTCACAGGAAAGAATTCAAATATGCCCTTGTATGTATCTCCAAATATGTGTGGACAAAGCAGAAATACATTTGCTGTTTCCAGAAGTAAATTTCTTGCCTGTTTTCCTCTCTTGTTTGTTTTTAAGTTTCTGACTTTGCTTGAAGCAGCCTTCAAAAGGATAAGCCTTTTATAACTCTGAAGAGTTACTTTTTTAAAATTCTCTTAATTTTGTGCTTAGGAAACGAGCTGCTTGCAAATCTGTGAATGGCTCCCACAAGTACAAAGGGAACTCGAAAGATGTCAAACCCCCAGACCTTTGGATCCATCATGAGAGACTGGAGCTGAAACCCATCGATAAATCTCCAGACCCAAACCCCATCATGACTGATACTCCAATTCCTCGTAACTCTCAAGATATCACACCAGTTGACAATTCCATGGACAGCAATATACATCAAAGACGGAATTCATACAGAGGTGCAGGTTTTTCCCAAATGTTAGAGAGATTATTTTCACTTAAATCATTTTGCATTTCCTAAGGTTGTCTAAATATGGTGGTTCCTATATGAGGTTGGGTTTAAAGAAATGTATGTTATGGAATTTGGTCAACATCTGGTGAAGAATAGCTAACCCTTTATGGGGGAATGGTTCTGTACCCAGAAGAGACAACATTTTAGCTGTTTTAGGCTTCACATCATGCTTCACCCATTTGATCCTCAAGCATTTGAGAGAAACTTGCCCATGTCTTCACATTTCATTTTAGCCCTGCAGTTGGAATCCAGCTGTCATTGCAGTGTTCAGAATGTTCTTGGTGCAGATGCTCTTACAGACACCCCATGAAGCATGGTAGGCAGCATTGTGTCAACTGTACTGACTCTTTAACAGGCGTTCCAGTAATGAGTAATGATCTTTTTCCTCTACTTCACTTCCTGAAGAAGCGCCTTATCCTCATTGTGTTTGTGAATCCTCAGTCCCCCGTTATAGATAGGTCACTGCTGAGGCTGCTCAGTCACTGAGGGCACATGCTTGTGCGTAACTTCCATATTTGATGTCTAGGGCATGAATCAGAGGACAGCATGTCTACGCTGGCTGGAAGACGGGGGATGAGACCAAAAATGATGATGCCCTTTGACTCCCAGCCACCCCAGCGTAAGTTAAAAGCTTTTTCCCCCAGTGCTGCCAATCTATCCATTCATGTTGGGAAACAGTTGTGAATGATCCTTTTGACTTCACTTGATCTTAACACAATAGGTTATGTCCCAAAGCTTTGGCACCTTGAAGGGAAAGAAATATCAAGCAATTGCCATGTTTTACAATTAATATTATTCTTGAGACCAGCTTGCTTATGTTTAGCATAAATAAACTAAAAAGCCAATTTCCCTGGTCTCCCAGGAATAGTACCCAGTCTCCCTAAAAGTGCGTGACATCTCTATGGGATTGATGGAGAGCATTCCTCCAGGCTGTGGCTGAGGAGCTGGGTGTCACAGTGCCTCTTAGGCTTCCTGTCACCTGTGGGATCTTTGTGTTGGGGAGCACCTGTGGGATTTTTTTTTTTCTATTGTAGAAGAAGTTTTAGATTTACAGCATGGAGTTTTAAAAGCAGTGTTTCTCCTACCTTATTTGACCTATGCTTTGCTGTGATAAGAGTAACCTAGCATCCTTTAATAATATTTGAAATTCAAAATAAGGTAAATGTCATGTATGAAAACCAAAAAGCAGTGGGATGAACCAATTCTTTTTTCAAACTACTGCATCTTTTCCCTTGTCCTGTTTTCAAGCTATAGAAGCTTATCAGACTAGCTGGCACAGTGGCATGAGAGTGGTCCCCTCTACCATCCTAGAGTGATAAGAAGCAACCTGCCTACCCGTATCAAGTTTTAAAACTATTTGATAATTGGAGTACTTGCTCTAAGTAGAACAGTGGGCCAGTAAGCCTCAATACTCTCAGATAACTAGATTCAAATATTGAAAGCATCAAATCCTAAAAGATCTCTTTTCAATTTGACCTAAATGAGCTTTTGAATTTTTCATTCATTTCTTAAAATACTTCTCATTTCCGAACTCCCAGCCATCTTTCTGTCAACAAGTGACAGAGATTTAAATAATCATAGATTTGCTACTTGCAAAGAGCTGCTCCATGGCACTCTGTACTGGGAAGACAGTAGTGCTCCAAGCACATAGATGTCTGCACACACACACTGTCTCACTGCTCTCACATGTAGTTAATAGATTCTAAAAGTCAGCTTTGAAAGAAAGATATATTCCACAGTAGGTCATTTCTGCACAAGTAGTTTTTGCTTAGAGTCTATAATGAAAAGAAGCCTATTCTTGAAAGCATACAGGGAAAAGCTGTAGTTTTCCACTTATAAGAGGTACCCTGAACAGGGCCTCCAAATTTGAAATTATAGATGTTCAAAAAGAATAAAGTAATCCATTCCAGTTGCTTTGATTTATAAGAGAATGGTAACTGAACTGCTTGTTTGTTTTTTTAAGACTTTAGCTCTTACCTGAACCAGCCTATATTTCAAACATAAAATTTGACTTTTGAATATGTTAAGAAAAAAGTAAGATATCATCTTTTTCTGTTTTATTTTTGTGGTGGTAGGGAAGGAATATGCATGAGAATATAATACTTAATTCATGTTACAACAGTTAGGTGCGTGAGTGGAATCTTTTAATTCAATAACCTGCAAACAGGTACCCAGATATACTTGTGATCTTCAGGTTTTGAGATACCCCTTTCCCTACATGACTACCATCCTCTTCACAAGCTAGAATTCCCTAGAGTTTGTATCCACTTTTACCTATCCCGACCTTGAATGCCTGAGCACTGTTAGGAAAGAGGGAGGTTTGATCCAGTTCTTACAGAGAACTGGATTCAGCTAAAAGCTAACGATTTCTGAGTGTATTCTAGCTAGGCAGGCACTTTCACATTGTTATTTTTTATTTACTTAATTTGGAAAGACTGGAAATTACTTGTTTTTCCTTTGTGAGGGTCCTCTATGCCTAGAATGCTTTCAGGTTGCACTTCCGGGGTGAAAATCAAGTTTGTTCTCTCTAACCTTAATTCTGGAAAACATCGATCCCAAGGGATCTGCCTCTGAAAACTCCTGCACCCCACCTTCCTAAAGGAGATGCTAACTCCCAAACTGACCTGAGAACCCTCCTCAGGCAGCTTTGCTAGGCTGTGTTTTGCTCCAAAAAACCACCTGAGTCTTTTGGTCCCGGAGAGTAGGGAACTTCTAGGTCTTGTGGAGGGAGCAATAACTCCAGGGTTCCTAGTTGTCTACCACCTGCTTGCTTGCTTGCTAGTGACTAAAACCAAAATTAGTGGAAGATGAAGGCATCTGTTTTCTTGGTTGGGATTTTTCTTCACCAAAGTAATGTTGTGTGACTCCATACAAGCCCAGAGACATTTTAGTAGAATACTTCACGGGCCAATTAAATTTCATCACGGAGTTGGTGAAGTCCTTGCTTAGAGAAGATTGTCGGTGTTCCTACTCAGCCCTGCCTATTGGCTTGTTTGGAGGCTTAGAGTTGGTTATCTTAATCTTAAGTACTCTGTTTCTACAGCTATGTTAAGGGTGTACAAAGTTTACACCCAAACTGTTTAATTTTGTTAGTGTCAGTCTCAGGAATCAATAATGAAGCCTCATTAAAGAAGTGCTTTGTCTTTACAAAAAATTGTATATGAAATATCTGTGTGGAAAAATTGCATTCAGTAGCTAAATGCAGTAAATTGAGTTCTTTAACCCATGTGGGAAGAAAAGAGGCAATTAGGAAAGTTTTATATTTTAAAATGTGAATGGATATGACTGAGCCCTGAAACTGGCAGCAGTAAGAGATGGTGTCATGGACTGTGTTTCTTGCTTTTAGTATTAGACTGGACCATAGGCGTTCAAACCATTTAAGTTCTATAAGATATGGAAGCAACTAAACAGCTGCTTATTCATTTAGCATGAATCCTTTTGCTTGCCTCCTTCAAAAAGTAAGAAAATGCAAAGTGAAAATTAGGAATACACTGGAAGAAGTGTTTTCTTTCTTTTTTTTTTTTAAGATTTATTTATTCATTTATTTATTTATTTATGCAAGCACTGGGTACAGTCAGAAGCGCACGAGGGTTAGAGAATTCACCAGAGCCAGAGCAGGGAGCAGAGCAGGCAGAATGACAAAGTACACTGCTGAGGGGAGCAGAGGGCGGCAGGAGAGGTCTGCGTGCCATGTGGAACTCTTGCCGGGTGACCGGGGATCAAACCGGCTCTGCAGAGGCTGCAGGCAGTGTCGCAACCCAGCGTTCAACCACTGCACCACCAGGGAGGCCCAAGAAGTGTTTTCTATTTTTTAGCCAGAGAAAAAAAGTATGGGTTTGGGTTTATATTTGTGACATATTCAAATAGATCGTTTGAATCACTCATGTAATCCATGTTTATTGTAGAAGATTTAGAAAACGAGTATAGGGGGAAAAAAAAGTATTATACCAGCTAATACCATTGTTTTCTTTTCCTTTTTTTTTTTTTTTTGTGGTAGGGAATATGCATGCATATATAATATTTAATTTGTGTTTGTGTGTTTCAACAAATTGAACTGATGTTGAAATTTTTTTTTAAATCCTGGCCACTCTTCCCTACAGGATAATCACTGTAAGACTTTTAGTATGTATTCCATATTTTTTTAATATATAGATTTTTAGAGAGAGAAAAACATGCGATAGAAGTATGTTAATTATTGATAACAAATGTGAAATCCGTAGCTAATTGTCCAAATCCAGCCAGCTGCCGCCAAAAGCCGAGGGAGTGGTGGTTCTGTGTGGGTGGGGGTGGGTGACCAGCGGTGACGTGTGTGTCTGTGCAAGCATGTTAAGCATTTCTCTGTCTTGTGTTCATTCACAGCTGTGATTAGTGCCCATCCCATCCATTCCCTCGATAACCCTCACCATCATTTCCACTCCAGCAGCCTCGCTTCTCCAGCTCGCAGTCATCTCTACCACCCGGGCAGCCCATGGCCCGTTGGCACATCCATGTCCCTTTCAGACAGGGCCAATTCCACAGGTGAGAGATGAGGACCAGCCCAGGTGGAAAGCACTCCACAGAGTTGGCCAGCTGAAATGGGAACAACTTGCCCTGCTTAGAAGGATTTGGAATTTTTCTCAGTGTCACATATTTATCATAACTTTTCTTTTATTGACTCAAATTTCTTTCTATAAAACTCACTCCATTTTCTCCCTAAGTTTTAAATGCTTATTGTGAGGTATAATTTTAGTGCCTATGTGCCTATAAACACAATAGCTATAATCACTTAACCATGTCTTGTTCCATCAACTTATATCTTAATTCAGTCTTATTTTCAGTTTGTTTATTTTTATAATCTTCCAATTTGAAAGGCAAAGTCATTCTGGGTGATTTTCAGACTCTAAAGGTTCCTTTGCCTGATAATCGTCCTAAAGTGGGGAGGGGTGTAGGGCAGCCATAAAGTCCGTCTTACCTTAGGTCTTACTCACATATTTGTGCACATATATAAGACATGTATCTGGGGCAACTGGGCCGGCAGCCTCAATGAGTCTGTGCACATTATAAAGCTCAGGTTACCTAGTAGATTACTGAAATTAGAAAGGGCTGCACAGGCATAGAGCGTCCACACACAAACCGGATAGATTAACCTAACAGTCTGCAGTGTGCTTAAAGAATATGTTGCCAGATAAACATGTCCCAATTCAGAAATCTTACAAAACAGTGTTATCGAAACGGTTTTAAGGAGAAATGGAGGAGAGGCAATAGAAAATGGAACAAATATTATTGTTCCTCCTTAACTGAAAGTTAATGTCTATACTTTTCAGTTTTAAGGTGCAAATCTGGTAACTTCTTATAAATACAGCATACTCTTTTTCCATCATTTGAAACTCATCTATTAGTAGTTACAGTGTTATTAGTAGAACTGAGTTTGGGTGGTTCTGGGAAGAATTTCAAGTGAATTTCATTTTAAAATTTCATGCCAAAGGTTTGGGTTGCCAAGAACATCCCCCTCTCCTTTAAGTTGTGATCAATTATAAATACACCCAAAACATCAGATGTAGATCAAAGCTTTAAGGCCCTAAAAATTCCCAAAGTTATCTAATTCCAAAACTTGGACCTGGCTTGGAGAAAACTGCTGGGACTCATGTCTAAAATTAGCCTTCCTACTATTTCCCTCCAGGTGTGGAATCCTGCCTTTAGGGAAGCATGGTCTACACAATAGACAGCTGTTCTAGACCATAGACATAGTCTCAAGCAGAATAGACCCAGAAACAACCTCCAAACCTGCTTGTAGAAAGCAGGTTTTGTGTCCTCTGTTCCCCATTTTAAGGGCAGAGGACTCTCACTCACCAGGATGGGGCCCTGCCTGAGTCTATGGCATGCTCTAACCAATCAGATTAGTTCTTCTTCCTGGACTCGGAGTGGGTAAAGTTAGAAGGAAACAAGACAGCTCCCACCCAGCCCTCATCCTAATGGCCTAGTGTTAGTAACAGTTCCCTTTTATAGGGACCTAAGCAGAAAGTGGAGAGATGAAGTAATGATTTTCAGTACTAAAGGGTTCTTCACTTTGATGACTGGATAAAAGAAGATAAAGCTAGTAACAGGCTCAGTATAGATGGATTTGAAATGTAGAGCAAATATCTGGATGTAATCAGATTTCTTTTACCATTGTATTTCCAAGCTCTGTGTATCCAGAGTTCAGTGTTACCACAAACCTTGAACCTGTGGTTGGAAATGATTAGAACCTGGCCTCAGAGTCCTTGCTCTAAAGACCATTTGCTGGGCCTTTTCCTTGGGCCTTTACACTGTCGCCACCATATAACACAGGAAGAGCACTATCTACCTGTCCAGGACCTTGGCCACTGTAAACTTGTGTGTCTTAAACAACTCTGAAAGATAAGTCAGTTAGAAAGTAGGCCCATCACCAAAGTAGAAGCTTTAGCATAGTAGAAACTATAGCATAGTTTTCTTCATCAGCCAATGTTGTTGCACCACTTCAGGGCACACCCTTCACAGAAAATACACAGAGAAGTGTACATATTGCCCTCTGGAGTTGGGCAAAATGGCCCTGAACTATGGCAGCAGGCCAGGGCTGTGACTCACATAGGCAATCCTATTTTCCTTTTTCACATTTCCCACCATCTCTTTGCCTCTCAGAAAGTCATACACCAAATTAAGGCAGCGCAGGGGGCCCTGTGTGCCAGAGCCAACATGACATATCTGCCAGTGCAGTGACAGGGTCTGGGTGTGAACCCGAGCTCTCTAAGCAATTTCCACCCAGACCAGAATCACAGAGGGGATCAGCCACTCCCAACTATGCAGTGGCTGGCTTGAGCAAGTGTAAGAAGTGAGATCCTCAGCCCATCTCTTCAGATGGTGAGAAGTGAGTTAGATCTGTAGGGTTATCATAGCCATACTTTCAACAGTTGAGTCCCTCATCCTTGGCACCCAAGAACTTTAAGCTAAGGAGACAGCACTCCTGACTGACCTGACCTGGCTCCTGAGAGCCCAGGGGAACAGATTAGTTGCTCACTTAGCAGCAAAGACAGGGAAGTAGGTGGGATTTCTACAGGGTGCTCGGGCTTTACTACTAAGGATTTATTTTCCTTCTTGAGGTTGAAAGCTTTAGGATTCAGAGGCAGCTCTCCTTCAGGTTTCCTGGTGCAGTCTATTGTCCAGAGCTAGTGCTCCAGGCTCTGCTTCAGGGATGGGGAAGGTGGCCTGCATCAGCTCACACTGTTTGAAAGGCCTCCCTGGGTGGGCCTTATCCCTGCAGGGTCAGGCATGGGTGATATTGGGCATGGACAGGCATAGTGTGAGGTGCTTCAGAGCACAGTTGTGGGAGTGAGGGGGAAGAGATTCAGTTTCCTGCCCCCATCACTTCTCCCTGTGTCCTTGGGTATGGCATAACCTCCTGGTGCCTTCTGCATTAGTATGAGAAATGAATGAGCTGAATGAGTACATTAAATGTAGTGACTCACTCAGAGTAAGCACTTTGTCAGTTACAAAGAACTTTGTCAGTTATTCAAGCACTGTGTTCAGCACTTTTCATACATCTTCTCATTTAAACCTCAGTGAATTATGTATTATTCTCCATGTGAAGAAACTGAGACTCAGAGAGCTACAGTGATTGCCAGGCTCACCCAGCTAGCACGCCAAAATTAGAGTCTGCTGTCCACTACACTGCTCTTCCAGACCATCTCTGCCCCTACTAATCTCCTCTTTCTTTCTCTGGACCAAAACACCCTTCATATGGTGTGATTTTTAAAACGATTTGCAGTTCTCTGGACTGCTTGGTTATCCAGGTCATACTTGAGCTTTGTGGCTGCCTCTCTGGTGAGGCCATGCACAATCCCTGGAGGGCATGCTGGGCCTGTGGCATTGCCCCCTTTGCAGTGCCCACCAGGCCCACAGACACAGCTAGTGCTTGTCATGGACCTAGCCAGCCTTGGTGACTAGATACATTGTCTTTGAAAGGCCTATCTCTAAGACTACCAATCAGTGAGTGAGATTTTTAATTTACTTTTGTACTTACTTACATTTCAATTTCGGGAACCTTTATGTGTGCTCCATAGTAAGTACTGAGGAAAATACAATCATATCCACCTAGCTGTGTAGGTGAAAAAGTTCCAGCAGTAGGTTGACAAAATTGTTTAAGATTTTCAGAGGATTAGTCCATCCTTAACCTTGGCAATGGAACTAACTGTGTTTCCTTGGACTAATACTGATCCCCACTGCTTATTGTGCTAACTTAGAAGTAGCCCCAGAACCCTGGGATATGCTTACATTAATGACAAAAGAAATGCTAACATTTAGACTCTCCCACTGTAGAATCTGTTCGAAATACCCCCAGCACTGACACCATGCCGGCCTCCTCGTCTCAGACGTGCTGTACTGATCACCAAGATCCTGAAGGTGCTACCAGCTCTTCTTACTTGGCCAGCTCCCAAGAGGAAGATTCAGGCCAGAGTCTTCCTACAGCACATGTTCGCCCTTCCCACCCATTGAAAAGCTTTGCCGTGCCAGCCATCCCACCCCCCGGACCTCCCACCTATGATCCTGCATTGCCAAGCACACCTTTACTATCCCAGCAAGGTGAGTGAGGACAGCGACACCTCCTGCTTTGGCAGAAGTCACAAAAAATGGCAGAGCAAATGATCCTCTCTGCTCACCCCAGAAATTTAGAGTAGTGTTATTGTCCCACTCAGGGAGTGTTGAGAAGCCTCCTTTGGGGATTCATTTGAGCCATAGAATAATGTTGGGGAGCAAGGACTTGTCTTTCGAATAATGTTTTGGGTAATTTACCCAGCATGCTAGGTGGTAAAATCCAGCAGCATGACTGGGCGTGAGCAACAGCCTCCTATAATTACTTCATTCCATAAGATCCCTGCAGGTTGGAGAAGGGTTAAGGAGGCCAAGACCTGAGGGAGCCTTAGGATGGGGAAATGAAGCCTGGTGAAGGGATGTTGACTCCCTGAGTCCACACAGCTCCACAAAAGTCCCTTGACCTCAAAGGCAAGCATTCTTCCCCTACGCTTCCACACTGGTGTCTATTAGGATGGCTGGTTTCAGGATAAGGCCGTGGTCCTTCAAACTTTTTGGTTTCAGGACCCCCTTACACTCTTAAAAGCTCATGAGACCACGGAAGAGCTTTTCTTCACATGAGCTATATCTGTCAGTGTTTACTATATTAGAAATTAAAGCCAGGAAATTTTTTGATTATTAATTTTTCTAAAAATAAAGCAGTTATCCAATACTCCGCATGAATCTCAACTGAAGAAATAAAAAGGAATCAAAATGGATAGTAAAGTAGTATTATTGCAGGATGTGCTATAGTATTTACATGTGACTGGGAAACCAAACCTCCTCTTTACAGATTAAAAACATCCCTTTGGAAAGAAAAAAAATAAAGCTGTTATCATGTTAGGATAAATAACAGTTTGTAATGTGGAGTCAAACCGTATCCATGAGCTGTTTGTACCCTCTCCCATGGAATTCCATCTGTTTTTTATTTTGAGTGCATGATATGGAACATCACACTTTGGTCACTTGGAAAGTGACCTGAGTTACACAGATCCTGTAATTCTTGATACATTCATTATACAATATCTACAGATGCATTCAGCCGTAACACCAAAGCCTGTAAGTGTGTGTCGGGACGGTCTCAAGCTCATGTGGCAGATACAGGTTTTTCTAATTTCACTTGAAACTTGATTTTACCATTGGCCAAAAAAATGTCGTCCATTATTTTCCTTGAAGGGACAGACTTTACTCCCTTTCTAGAAAATGTCCACCAAATGCTCAGGCCCGAACAACGAGCTTGTCAGTCAGTCTTTCTCTGAACTAACATTGATGTTCATGATAAAAGCAACACAGCTCACAACTCAGACGATCACAGATGCCTTTTTTGAGATGGCATCAGACTTTATGCATGTTTTCCATTTTGTCACATAGAATATTTAAAACATGTAATCAAGGTCAAGATTTAATATAATTTTTACTACTTCATTAAGGATCTTAAGTTAAATTTGCTTTTTTAAAAAAAATTTTTTTTTTAAAAGCTGCAGGCTTACATCAGTGAATGACAGCAGTTTGGTGACTCTACCTTAATTTGTGCTGAGGCTTCAGCAGTTTTACCCAGTTACTTTTGTATAAAGGGAAAAAAATGTCTTATTAAAAAAAGAATTTCTCACAGATGTTCTGCAAGGGGTCTGTCCACAACCACCACACTTTGAGAACCCTAAAGTAGGACGTTAGCTTTCTAAAACCAAATGGGATGTTGTCTCTGTCTCTGGGATTCCTTGCTTTCTCCCTCTTCCCGTCCCATTAGAAGATCATCTCTGCACTGGGTCTGTGTGTGTCCCTCACCCTGAAGCAACATTTGGACCTTAGATGCCTGAAGTCTAGAGGAAGCAAACTTCCCACACCCCTAATGGTGCCTTTCCCCTCAGCTCTCAACCATCACATTCACTCGGTGAAGACGGCCTCCATTGGGACTTTAGGAAGGAGCCGGCCTCCTATGCCAGTGGTGGTTCCCAGTGCCCCTGAAGTGCAGGAGACCACACGAATGCTGGAAGACTCCGAGAGTGTAAGTTCACAGGCCCATCAGCCCCGCCAGATGTCTAGTGTGTCCCAAGACAGGACTGTGCTGGTCGGGCCTGTACTCTTTGCTGGCCCAGGCTCTGCCACCAGCAGTGTGGAGCAGTCACTTACTCAGTACCCGTGTACTGAGCATCTCCTCTGAGCCAGGGATGGTGCCGCGGGCTTAGCCTGCTATCTCACCACCCTGGTGAATCTCAGATCAGTGTGTCCAACCAGGCCAGCTAGTGAATTTTTTCTCTCCCATCCACCCACCTGCCTTCCTTTCAGTTCTGTGCTATGCATCTGATCCTCTTTTCTTGGATTGAATCATCCACCTGTTCTCTCAGCGCCATTCCACTTCCTGGCCTTTTCTGAGTGGGATGCTGGAGAGGAAGGTACTTGAATAGTTACTCTCAAGACAAAAATCCACAGGGTCTCTCCTGATCATTCACTCTCAGATTCTAATAAAGATATTCTGCATCTATATTTCCAGGTACGGGACTCACTTTGGGCCCAGAGAGACAGGTGACACACCAACTGTGTTGACTATCATTGTGCCCTCCAAGGTGTGGGCGGTGAGGCCTCTCACCTACGAGGTTATTATTAGGACCTGGGGACCACGTGTTGGGAGAAAGGTGTTTTGCTGATGAGTAACTGCCAGCCTGGTACCCTAGTCACCGGGGCACGTCTAGCAGTCTCTACCTTCTGGACCCGGCAGGCTTTTGGTGTCCCAGGCTTTCAGGGCTGTTCTACCACTGGCCTCTCGATGCCTGAGCGCTCTCCCTGGGTTCTCCTTCCGTCAGCTCCTCAGGTCGGCTCAGTAACAGTGTTCTCTTTTCCCTAGAGCTATGAACCAGATGAGCTGACCAAAGAGATGGCCCACCTGGAAGGACTAATGAAGGACCTAAACGCCATCACAACAGCATGACGCCCTTCACCAGAACATGACTCCAGACCTGAGTCTCGAAGTCTTGGGTCTTCGCCTTGAAAGCAAGGACTTGTACAGAGTGCGAGAGGACAGCGTGAGAACACAGAGTGAGCAAGCCGGCCAGCCAGTGTCTCTGCGTGGGGCCCGCTCCAGGCCTGGCCACCTGCCTTCTCCTGGTTGGCCTGGAAGAAGCCTGTGCCGAGGCAGCTTCCCTTTGCCTGCTGATACCCTGCAGGACTGGGCACCATGGGCCAAGAGTTTGTGTCCAGGGAAGAGACAAGAAATGCAACCTACATTTCACTTTGTGGTCAGGCTGCGTCTTCGTGCTACGACTGCATCGCCTTTATGGAGTGTAGACATTGGCATTTATGTACAATTTTATTTGTGTCCTATTTTATTTTACCTTCAAAAGAAAAACCATCAAAACCCAAGGAAATCCATGGTGTTCTCTACAGTGGTTGACATTTGACCGGTTGGTTGAATTGCATATGGAAGGTCACTGACAGTGTGGGTTTTTCCAGGGGGGTTGGCTTGGTTTTGTTTTTGTTTTTTAGTTCTGAGTCACTGCATCCTCTACCAGCTGTTAATCCATCACTTTGAGGGGGGGAGGAAATGTTGCATTGCTGTTTGTAAACTTTTTTATTATTTTTTTATTATAATTATTAAAGGCCTGACTTTCTCCTCTCATCACTGTGAGATTACAGATCTATTTGAATGAAATGTAACATTGAAAAGACTTGTTTGTTGCTTTCTGTGCAGTTTCAGTATTGGGGTGGGGGTGGGTTGGGGGGCGTTGGTAATAGGAAATGGAGGGGCTGCTGAGGTCCTGTGAATGTATCAGTCATTGTACTTTCTTCCAGAAGCCTGCAGAGAATGGAAGCATCTTTATTGTTCTTTCCTGGCATGCCCATCTATTGTCACTTGCAACTGGAGTTTCATTTGGATCTAGTCAAACTCTTCTGTGCAGTCTGTGGGTTTGAGGATTTTGCTACCCTGATGTCTTGGTCAGATTCTATAAAAATGTCCGTACCAGGGGCCAGGCTCTATACTTCCAGCTTCAGGAGTGATAGGGCAGGGTAAGAGCCTTCCCTCCTGGGAAGTCAGAGAGAAAGGCCTGCTGTGCTCCATGTTCCCTCAGGGGAAACTGGAGGATGAGGAAGGAACTTGGTTTCCACACAGGACTGTTTGCTCTCTCTGGGCCCTGTCCTCAGCCTGTCCAGCTCTCAGTCCATGTGCCAGCACCCCTCCAGAAAAAGCATCAGCAGGAATGAGGGAGGCAGGCTGCAGCACAAGGGAGGCACCCCACCTCTTTCCAAACATTGTTCTCTGAGCAGCAGGGGAGAGGACAGCAGAGAGGGACAGTGGAGGCAGCTGCCCCCTCCATATCTGAAACCCAATTCAGCCCAGATTCCAACAGGGCGGCAGGAGGCTTCTGTGAGCTGCTGAGAGGCCCGGCCACATGCAGAAGCCTTTGCCTTTACAAATAGTTCTTGTGTTCTTTTTCTTCAAAAGGTAAGGAGCTGAGGTGATTTTTTAAATACTAAGAATATATTATTAAAAGAATACAGGATTGACCCTCAGGCCTCTTCCCTTACTCTTCAACAGATCCCCAGAAGAGTTCTGTGCCCAAGAAAGGACCAGCTGCAGAGACCACCAGTGGGTACCCCAGCCTCCCTGCCCCAGGCCCATGGGCCCCTGGCAGGCCACTTGCCTTGGTGCATTGGTTATTTCACATTTTAGGTCTTAAAACACATTTGTTTTTCTAGGAGATGAACTCTATTTATTATTTGGGGGGCAATAAAACGTGCAATGCTGACCATCACAGAGGATGGTGCAGGCAGGGTTCTGCAAAACCAGTGCACTTAACTGATCTGAAAAGAGCACTCTGGACACCAGGTGGGCTAGATTCCCCAGAAAGTCTCTTACCTTTTGCCCAAAGAAACATGCTGGGTATTCGGGGCATCCCCCCATGAACCCTGACACTTCTGTTACCTCAGGGCCTTGGGACCTGGATACTGCCACAGAACTGGGGTGGGTGGGGAGGGCCTATTTTTAAATAAAGTAACTAACTGTTCAAAGTTGGGGGATTTTTTAAAATTAAGAAAAAGAACTATTCTGTATTGCACCTTTTCACAATTTAATACATTTTCTTACATTTTCCTGTGATTTTTGAAACTAAACCATTGTGTGTCTTGTAATGTCCTAGTTGATCAGCTTCTCAGCAGCTTCCTTCAGGAGGACTGAGAACAAATGTGCGTGTTGCCTTGTTGCCTGCTTGAGGGGGGCCTGGAGGACTGCTGGGGACTGGTTTCTGTACACACCTGTTTGGCCTTTTCTGTAGTTGATGCTGTAAACTCTATGGTTTTTAAAAAAACAATTTCATGTTTTTATTTAGTATTGGAAATCCAATACACTTTTTTAATCCAATCAAACTCTGGTCAAAGACTTATTTTCCTTTTTCCTTAAGAAAACAGAACCTTGGGGTCCCTTGTTGCCCATCCCTAGTTGACTTCATGTTGTCCTGACAACTGTAAAACTGTAGTTCTGCAGGGCGCCCTGGGGAGTGACGGGTGAGGCAGAAGGCTGCAGGAGAGGCAGAGTTCCCAGCCCTGAGGGTGAGCCCTGTCCCCATCACCGTTGTTCCCCTTCTGGGCCCGAGCAGCCTGAGGAATCGAAGGTGACCCTTGTCAGAAAGAGCCAAGTAACCCCAGCAGGAAAGACCTGCTCCTGTGTGGTGTGCAGGCAAGTCCTGCTGTGGCAGCTTCCCGGGCAGTAGCTCGTTCTGTCAGCACACAGACTGCACCCCCACACCAGGCTGCGCTTGCCTGCCCCAGCCCCACCTCTGCTGGTGCATGACCCTGGCAGGAGGTGTCTGCCAGGAGCCCTGCCTCACCCAGGCTGCCTCACCTCCCACTGCATTCATTCTGTGCTTTATCTGAGGCTGCAGGAACAAAAATACCATAGACTGGGTGGCTTAAATAGCAAACATTTACTTCTCACCATCCTGGAAGCTGAGAGACCCAAGCTTGAGATACCAGCAGGCCTGGTGTCTGCTAAAGGTCTGCTTTCTGGTTTACAGATGTAAACTGTGTCCTCACATGTGGAAGGGGCATGAGGGGTTTCCAGAGTTAATAGGGCACTAATTCCACTCATGAGGGGATTAATCTGTGACCTAAGCACCTTCCAAAGATCCACCTCCTAATCTATTCCAGCCAGGGTTGGGATTTCAACATACGATTTTGAATAAAACACTCAGTCCATAGCACTAGGAGTTCTCCTAGTGTATGAGGGTCTGTCTGAGGACAGGATAGTGGGGAACACGGCAGTCATAGGCCCTCATGAGTTTGCAACAGAGTGAGGGCTGGATACAGGCCCACCACCTTACCGACTGCTCCTTCGGCCCCGGGATACACCTGCTCTGCTACCGAGTGTACTTTATGAAACCCATATGCCATTACCGTGCCCCTCTGAGCTCAGGATAGAATTGGGGCCCCAGTGCTGAAGTCTGCTCTCTCCTCAGCTTCCAGGCTCCCGCAGTGTGTGCACCCAGGATTGAGGCCAAGGGAATGATTTGGGAAATGCTTCCGTCTTCGCACACAAAACCCACTCTTGTTCCCAGAGCCCAGAGTCCTCAGTGCCAGCCTTGCTTGCCTCCCTAGGTGGCGCTCTCGCCACTCTTTACAGCATTTGAGTTTTTCCACCAGACTGGACTCAGTGGGGACATAATCTCTTACTACTAAATGCCTATTGCCACCAGCAGTTTCCAACCCCAGAGAAGCCTGTCTCCCAGATGGGCGGACAGGGGACTCGTGGCCTGGAGCACATTGGCAGGCTCCCCACACGCACCGCCCTGCCATGAGGGATCCTACCAGGTGCCCGTGGGGTTGGTGGCAGGATCCTCCATTCCAGCAGCTGTGGTCCTTTGTGTCTTGGGGTGAACTTGCCCTCTTGCCCCAGTCCATCAGCCTTTTCAGTTTCAGCCACCTTCCTGCCAGGGGTGTGGTGTCTTCAGGAAAGCCTGCAAAGCAGCACTAAATAGACCGTCATTGGTGAGGTAGAGGGTGGAAAAGCAGGGCACCCAAGGGGCCAGCCCTACCCACACAAAGCCCCCCCACACACACACTCACACACAGCAGGTGCTGACCCTTCATCATGGGTTCCCAGCTACCAAAGGAGGACGTTCGCCAGGGTCAGAGGGGAGAGACAGTAATTGAAAGAAAATACATTTTCATAATATTTTTGAAGTATGTAATGTTGCAAAATGCTATCTAAAACTACAATTACCCTCTAAGAAAAGTGGGTGATATTCATGGCAAATTCCCATTTCACTCAAGTAGGAATTTGATGGATTCTGGAAATGAAAAGGTGGACCTCGAACTGAGCACAAGAAAGGTAGTAGAAGAAGAAGGGTCAGAGGAGACTCTTGCTGTACCTTAGAGGAAGAATGAGGTAGTGCTGGCACCAGGTATGATTAACAAGAAACCGAGTGAATGGGGGGCTCTGTGGGAAGGGCTGCCCCTGAGGTGCTTTAAAGGAATTTTTTTAAATGAGAAGATCTGAGAGGTAACTTATTGCTGTCTGTTCTCTACGCTCGCATGAGGTAAATCCTTCTGACTTCAAAGTCATATAACATCTGCCTGTGCCCAAGGCCTGGTTAGAGCTGCTGGCTGCTCCCCCAACAGACAAAGGGGCCTTTGGGCCAGCACGGGCATGGACCGCGAATCTGGTGAGGGTGAGCCATAATGGAGTTGGCTCACCAGGAGCAGGAGCTCAGAGCCAGAAGCAACCAAAAGAATCTAAAGCAGAATCCTGGGGTGAGCAGAGGGCACAGGACTTTTCATAGGCCAAGAAATGTGAATTCCAATCAGCCTTATCCAGATTTTGAAGAGGCAGACTGACCTCAGCTTTGTCTGGGTTGCAAGGACTTTCTGGTTCCACACCCTCCATCTTGGTGTCCTGGAGCTGCACTGTGCTGTCCTCCGTACTTCTGCCCACCGCTTCCCCACTCC